AGCTCGGTGTCAACTAAAAAATACTTCTTTGGTCCTTTTAGTGGTCAGCAGAAAGGGAGGGGGGAAAGCATGTCGGAGTCCTAACATTCGGGAGGGAGCTCGGAATGGGGGGAACCTCTATAAGAGGCCATCACGGCCAAAAACGGGGCCTGAGAGAACCATATGTGAGCCTCCCGAGCTCCATTTTTACTGGCTGAGGCACTGTGGGCCGGTCCATTGCTGTTTCTAGGGCAGCCCTGCAGGCCAGATCTAAACACCTCACGGGCCAGATTGAGTTTGACACTGCTGACCTAATAGATAGTCCTTTGGCCGTCCTGTACAGCAAGTATAACAAGATACCATTGATTGAAAGACTCTGCATCTATGGTTCAGGAGAGATGGAGGCTGTTGGACACCTACTCCTTCTATGCTCTTTCTATAAAGATTTTCGGGGAAGAACCTATCCTCCCAATTATCTATAGGTATTCTGGCCGTACTGACCCTGCTTAAGTCCAGCGTCTGCTTAAGGATGAACAGGCTGGGACTACAGCGCAGGGGGCTTGATTCTGCGCAGTAGCACTGGGGATTTGTCGGAAACATGTGATTATAGCTATTTTACACAAATAATGTAGCAAACCCTTTTGCATGACTAGTCTTTTGCATTTCAGTACTTAATGACTAAGGTTGCGGTGCCTCAGTGGTTAAGACACTGAGCTTGTCGATCAGAAAGGTCGCAGTTTGGGTGAGTAACTGAGTGAGCTCCCGTTCCTTGTCCCAGCTTCTGCCAACCTTAGCAGTTTGAAAGCATGTAAAAATGCAAGTAGAAAAATAATTTTGGTGGGAAGGGAACAGTGTTCTGTGTGCCTTCGGGTGTTTAGTCATGCTGGCCACATGACCACGGAGATGTCGGACAGTGCTGGCTCTTTGGCTTTGTAACAGAGATGAGCACTGCCCCCTAGAGACGGAAACGAGTAGCACGTATGTACGAGGGGAAATTTACCTTTATTTAATGACTGTGGGCCTCACAGTTCATGGACTGATGTTATAGTACAGTTAGGCCACTGACACACCAGATGCCACATTGTGATTTTAATATAGATTTTATCTGTTATTTCTTATTTTATTCTAGAATTTTTAACTGGATATTCCTTGAGTGTTTTTTTTTAAATTTGCTATGGGCTCTGGTCTTTTGGCTGTAATAATTTAAAATAAACATTTCTTTTTGTCAGATAGACAGATACTATATTTATTTGATTGATTAAATTTACATGCCACCCATTTCGCTATCCAAAGCCATTCTATTCATGGAGGACAACACACACACACCTGAAATTTTTTACTTACCTTTCAAAGAGGCCACAGAAGACTTGGAAAGGCCTGTCACTTTTCTGGCCTACAATAAATCATACCTCCAGCTGATAAGCAAAGTGCCCTCACCTTGAAACAATCCCAAGGGAGGATGTGAAAGGGACAGCTTGCAAACAGAACAAGGAATCAAGAATCCCCATAAAACCTGCCACCTGCACTCTTAAAGGTTGTTAACGCACCCTTGCCCCAACACAGTGCCTCCCCCCCGAAAGATGGAAGCCCCTCCCAAACACAGAGCTTCCATTTGAAGGCCCCCTTCTTAAAATGTCGTGCCTGCATAAAATGGATACAGGTAGTCCTTGACTAACAAGCACAACTGAACCCAAAATTTCTGTTGTTAAGCAAGATACTGATTAAGTGAGATTTGCCCCTTTTTATGACCTTCCTTGCCACGATCGTTAAGGGATTCACTGCCGTTGATAAGTTAGTGACATGTTTGTTAAATGAATCTGGCTTCTTGCCCATTGACTTTGCTTGTTAGAAGGTTGCAAAAGGGGCTTCCATGACTCCGGTCATATGTATGAACCAGTTGTCAAAAATCTGAATTTTGATCACATGATCATGTCAGCTTTGGAAGCCATATTGAGGCCAGACGCTCCCACGCTGCCACATTTTGAGCCTGGGAAAGTGGGAGGGGGGAATTTCTTGGAGTGTATGTAGTTAGACATCATAACATTCTTTTTCTAATTCAAGGTCATGTTATTCTGCGCATAAGTGAGGGGCAGTCTCCAGTTGGGACGGATAGTGATTGGGGCAGGTGATGCAATGATGGGTGCAGGGGATGGATTTGTAGTTTTTACTTATTGCAAGGAAGCATGGAACTTTCAGATTCGGGATTCCCCAGTTGTGCCAGTTTACTATCCAAAATAAAAAGAACTTTTGAGAAGATGTCTGTCCCGGAGTTATTGGTTGGAGTGGAGGTCTTCTGCAACACTGACAGGGGATGCTGCAAAGGTTGTAAGTGTGCAAAATGGTTCCAAGTTGCTTTTTTCAGTGCCATTGCATATTTGAACAGTCACTAAATGAACTGTTGTAAGTCGAGAGCTACCTGTACGTTTTAGATAAAGCTCCGATGTATTAAGACAATGGGAAAGATAGACCACTCAGGAAAGCCTCCCTCACCCACAGAGTATCAAGTTGACTTCTGCAGCAAAGGTGAACAAAGAACAAGATGAAAATTCAGTGAAGCTTGAATTCTTCCCAAAGGAGCTATATATGGTGAGCAGATTCTCTCCTGCCAACACTGCAGTTGTTTTACTGATCCCTCGTCTTAAATGGGTGAATGTGTTAGAGGTTGGCTAAGGGACATCACCTTTAATTATACTACTGCAGTGCAAGGAAAGATCTTGGAAAGGTTTTTTTCCATTTGACTGGGTTTTCTGCATTGACCTTCTACACCTGTGCTAACAATTATACCAAAAATAATTATGTGGGTCTTTCATTTTTATTATCAAAAGCAGTTACAGGTTGTAGAACTAAAGAGAAATTTCCTGACAGTTAGAACAATTAATGAGAACGACTTGTCTACAGAAGTTATGAATGCTCGCTCCAACACTGGAGGTTTTTAAGAAGAGATTGGACGGCCATTTGTCTGGAATGGCATAGGGCCCTGATGGCGAACCTATGGCAGAGCCATTTGTGCCACCACGCAAGCTGCAGGCAAACTTACCTCACAAAGCATGTGCGCGCCACAGCTGATTTTTGGCTGGTTTGAGGCCTTCTTTGGCCTCCCAAAGGTTAGGGTTCGGGTTTTGCGGAAAAACAGGAAATGATGAAATGGGGCTAGATTTCGGCCTACAAAGCTTGTAGGAACCTGCAGAAGCCTTCTTCAAGCCTTTGGAAGGCCAAAAAAAGGCCTCAAACCAGCTGAAAATCAGCTGTGAGGCAAAGTGCAGGTAAGGGGGAGGATTGCACGCGCATGTGTAGGGGACATGGGGGGGTGTGCATTTCCTTCTATGTGCTGGCACGCGAGTGCGAGCGTGCAAGCGCATGCACAATTTTTGGCAGAGGAACCCAAGATTAGCCACCACTGGCATAGGGTTTCCTGCTTGAGCAGGGAAGAAGACTAGAAGACCTCCAAGGTCCCTTCCAACTCTGTTGTTCTGTTCCGACATCCTTGACTTACAACTATTTATTTAACGGCTGTTCGAAATTACACCACCACTGAAAATGTGATTTACAACTGGTCCTCGCACTTACAACCATAATAGCTTCCCCTGTAATGTGATCAAAATTTGGGTGCTTTCACGACCGGCATGTATTTATGGAGGTGACAACAACCCAGAGGTTATGTGATCACCACTGGCAACCTTCCCAGCTGGTTTCTAACTAGCAAAGGTATTTCCTTAACTTTGGAGACATAAAGACCTGCCTTTAAAAAAAAAAAAAGAGTACACTGAATGGATAGCTGGGCTTCAATGCAGTTAAAATTTGGTACGTTAAACTCAGATTATCATAGCAACAGCAATAGTCCTTATATACCACTTACAGTGCTTTATAGCCCTCTACTGTTTCCCCGAAAATACAACCTACCCTGAAAGTAAGTCTTATCTTGATTTTTACACGTGCTTCCAATAGAAGCTCTACCCTCAAAATAAGCCCTAATTAAGATCCTGCCCACTACAGAATGCACAGGTAAAAATTAAGCTAGAGTGGGGATGGAGGTTGAGGGTGTGGAGCTGCCCTTCTACATACCTTTGGACAGTTGTAGCCAGGCCTCACACACCCCGACATCTACCTTGCTGGCGCATTTCTTCTGCAGCCCGCAAGGCTGACAAGGCTTTCTTGAAGGCCTCTGTAGCTGATAACAAAGCTCCGGATCAATCCAGAGCTCTGTTATTGGCTGCAGAGGCCTTCAAGAAAGGCTTGCCGGCCGCAGGAGAAGAAGTTCCTAAAGGCCTCTGACAGCGAAAAGGAGGCTAGGAGTGACGTGCACAAGTGAGGTTAGTCAGTGGATGACATCCTCCCAAAATAAGACCTGGTGCTTTTGGGTGGCAAAAAAAAATTATAAGAAAGGGTCTTATTTTCAGGGAAACATAGTAAGCAGTTTACAGAATCAGCTGATTGCCCCCAACAATCTGGGTCCTCATTTCCCCTTCCTCAGAAGGATGGAAGGTTGAGTCAACCTTGAGCCAGTCAGGATTGAACTCCTAGCAGTCAGCAGAATTAGCCTGCAATACTGTATTCCAACCACTGCGCCACCACACCTCTTTTATCATCTTGGTACTCTTTGAGCTTGGTGGTTTTCTGGCAGACATTCCCTTACCCATCTTCGCTGCGGAAGATAACCAAGTTCAAAGAGCACCAAGGACTCTACTGTTCAATGCTGAGCTACAAACACCCTTTTCTATTGGTATCAGATTGCCATTTTAAATTGGGAACAGACATCTGAAAATAGGAGATGCATTCATGACAGGTGGAGAGAGGAAATTCTTCTCCCCACCACTTTAGACCATCTTCTCCTATTCTTCAGAGTAAGGGTGAAAAAAATAAAATAAAAGTTTAAAAAAAGATAAAAAAAAGATAAACATGGAAGGCAAAAGAACATCAACGGAAATATGTTTAGAATCGAATAATTTATTATTCTTTATTGGAATAAAGTAATATTTTTAGAAAATGTTAATATAGACGTCCTTGATTAGTTTTCTTCCCCCTCATTTTGTATTCATAACGTAGCAAATCCTTTCCCGATTTCTGCCATTTGCTGCTCACGTTATTTGTGTGAAGTACTTGGAAATGACGCAGTTGGTAAGGCAAATGTTTAAAAAAGACTCGGTGAAGTCGAGAAAGGAACCACCAAAAAGGAATTTTTAAAATTCTCCCGCAGGACAATGGCTGAGTGGTATGACCTGGGGGGGTATTCATAATAAGCACAGGCCTGGCCTGGCTTTTTTCTTAATCATACCAGCTTAAGCTTTGGTGAATTCTGTGGAACAGGTGTGGGTTTTCAAGAGGTCTTCTAAGTAAGCCAACACCCCCCTTTTCACTGGGTAGCCTTCTGATGCTTCCTCCAGCCTTCTCACGTGCTCAATGGCCCTTTCGAGGGTTTTGTCCCTTTCAGGAATGCTCTCTCCTATTCCAGCTTCTTCCCCTTCACCTCCTGATTTCATATACTGCAACATATACAGCCGAATGATTTCTCCCTGCTCAAGCACGGACTTCCTGATATCTGGTAGGTCAGTCTTCTCGGCCAGGCTCAGCAGATGGAGCAGAGCGTGGCACAGCTGCACGCGGAGGCTAGCGCTGTATTTGAACTCCAAGAAGTCTTCAGCGTTCTCACTCCGCTGCAAAGCGGTCACCAGCGCATCCCAAATCTGGGAAAACTGCTTGGGAGACCCATAATGCCTCCTCTCAGATGGCACAGAGAGAGCTGTGGCTGACTTGATGCGGACTTTAAAATTCTTGCAGGATTTGACCGCTGACGTAAGGGCATCATAGGCTTTGCCAGTCCAAGGGGCTTCTCCTAAAAAATCCAAAATAGGTTAAAATATATATATATACACATATATATGTTTCTTAAGTTTTCGCGGGTACTTACATGTATGGCATTCAGCTTTGTTTGGGTATTTTCCCACATCATTGTAGTTGTGCTTTTAAAGTTGTAGCAATGTTTCGGCAGAATCTCATCTGCCATCATCAGGCTGATGATGATGGCTGATGATGGCAGATGAGATACTGCTTAAAAAAATAAAGGGAACACAAAAATAAGACATTCTAGATCTGAATGAATGAAATATTCTTATTAAATACTTTGTTCATTATATAGTTGAATGTGCTGACAACAAAATCACACAAAAATTATCAATGGAAATCAAATTTAGCAACCCATGGAGGTCTGGATTTGGAGTTACACTCAAAATTAAAGTGGAAAAAAACATTACAGGCTGATCCAACTTTGATGTAAGGTCCTTAAAACAAGTCAAAATGAGGCTTAGTAGTGTGTGTGGCCTCCACGTGCCTGTATGACCTCCCTACAATGCCTGAGTATGCTCCTGATGAGATGGTGGATGGTCTCCTGAGGGATCTCCTCCCACACCTGGACTAAAGCATCCCCCAACTCCTGGACAGTCTGTGGTGCAATGTGGCATTGGTGGATGGAGCACGACATGATGTCCCAGATGTGCTCAGTTGGATTCAGGTCTGGGGAACGGGCGGGCCAGTCCGTAGCATCAATGCCTTCGTCTTGCAGGAACTGCTGACACACTTCAGCCACATGAGATCTAGCATTGTTGTGCATTAGGAGGAACCCAGGGCCAACCGCACCAGCATATGGTCTCACAAGGGGTCTGAGGATCTCATCTCAGTTCCTAAAGGCAGTCAGGCTACCTCTGGCGAGCACATGGAGGGCTGTGTGGCCCCCTAAAGAAATGCCACCCCACACCATTACTGACCCACTGCCAAACCGGTCATGCTGGGAGATGTTGCAGGCAGCAGAACATTCTCCACGGCGTCTCCAGACCCTGTCACGTCTGTCACATGTGCTCAGTGTGAACCTGCTTTCATCTGTGAAGAGCACAGGGCGCCAGTGGTGAATTTGCCAATCTTGGTGTTCTCTGGCAAATGCCAAACATCCTGCACGGTGTTGGGCTGTAAGGACAATCCACACCTGTGGACGTCAGGCCCTTATACCACCCTCATGGAGTCTGTTTCTGACCGTTTGAGCAGCCACATGCACATTTATGGCCCACTGGAGGTCATTTTGCAGGGCTCTGGCAGTGCTCCTGTCCCTCTTTGCACAAAGGCAGAGGTAGCAGTCCTGATGCTGGGTTGTTGCCCTCCTACGGCCTCCTCCACGTCTCCTGATGTACTGGCCTGTCTCCTGGTAGCGCCTCCATGCTCTGGACACTACGCTGACAGACACAGCAAATCTTCTTGCCACAGCTCGCATTGATGTGCCATCCTGGATGAGCTGCACTACCTCAGCTACTTGTGTGGGTTGTAGACTCCATCTCATGCTACCACTAGAGTGAAAGCACTGCCAGCATTCAAGTGACCAAACCATCAGCCAGAAAGCATAAGAACTGAGAAGTGGTCTGTGGTCACCACCTGCAGAACCACTCCTTTATTGGGGATGTCTTGCTAACTGCCTATGCTTTCCACCTGTTGTCTATTCCATTTGCACAACAGCGTGTGAAATTGATTGTCAGTCAGTGTTGCTACCTAAGTGGACAGTTTGATTTCACAGAAGCGTGATTGACTTGGAGTTACATTGTGTTGTTTAAGTGTTCCCTTTATTTTTTTGAGCAGTGTATATTGTCAGGGCTCCGGACAAGATTTATTAGGAGTAAACATGCCAACGCTGCCTGGGTGTAGCCGACTCTGAGACACATCACTCCTTGTCATCCTTGACCCTGGTTTTCCCCCACCCCCTGGGTGTATCATAATCCATATTCTCCAATGGGACACATCCATAACCAAGAGTCATCCATCATCCAGTTAGAATTTTGCATGGCAGAAACTTCAGTCACCTAGAAACTATCTTTGAAAACATTTATGGCATCCAAGTTGTCCACTGCTCCCCCCTCCCTCTCTGTTGGCAACTCTAAAAACCATAGAAATATTTTATAAGTTGACATATATATTACCAGGCTTCTCAGGAAGCCATCTATTGCTCCTTTCTTTTAAAATATCTCCTCCAACCAGATTTGTGATCATTTGGTTAGTTTCCAGCAAAAAACGGCCATTCAAATGAACGGGTTCACTTAACGACCACATCATTTGTTTAAGGGCCACTGTATTCACTTAACAACAGCAGTGAAAAAAGCTGGAAATTTACTTCAGGTCATGTGGGTTCCTTGACTTATAACCGTAACAACTTACAACTGTTATTCCGGGCTCAATTTTGGTCGTAAGTTGAGTTCTAGCTACTACTGTGAAATCCACAGGTGAGCTTTCTCTAGGAATTTGGGCGGCATTTTTGGAAAGCTGGACAAAGATGTCCCTCTCAGGCTGGCCCATAATCTCGCATCTCACAGCCTATTTTTATTTTTATTTTACTTTATTGCCATTGCACCTCGTACAATGAAATTAAATGCCGTCTTCAGTGCATATTATGACTATGAAAATAAACACAAATACACATCCTTCACATTCTATACATTGAATTGAAAACCCCTGATATTGCATTAATGTTGCACTATACAGTAGAATTCAGAAGAGCTAGTGCCCTGGGATAGAAGCTGTTTTTCAGCCTATTTGTCCTGTGCCGCCTGCCAGATGGTAATAGTTCAAAATAAGGGTGCCCAGGATGAGGTGGATCTTTAAGGATGTTTTGAACTTTCCTAAGGCAGCGGGAGCTATGAAGCTCTTCCAAAGAGGGGAGAGGGCAACCAGTGATCTTCTGGGCAAAGACGTTAACCCTCTGGAGTGCTTTCCTATCTGCCACTGTGCAATTGGCAAACCATACAGAGGTGCAGTATGTTAAAATGCTCTCTCTGGTGCAGCGGTAGAAGGTCACCAGCAGTTTTTCATTCAGTGGTTGTTTTCTGAGAAGTCTCAGGTGGTATAATCTCTGCTGGGCCCTTTTGACCAGGGCTGCAATGTTAGCACCCCCAGGTCAGGTCCTCTTTTAGGGTAACACCCAGAAACTTAAAACTGGCCACTTGCTCCACTCGGTCTCCATGGATAAGCAAGGAGATTTACACAACCAGAAATTATGGCCAGTTAACACAACAAGGTGGGAGGGGGAGTTAGCGCTAATAAAGGACTGGGGGACATTTCTGTATTTATCCATGTAGTATGGCTGTAGTATTGTTATTTATCCTTATTACCTTTCTTGCTCCCCGCTCTTATTGGTAATACAGGTAGTCCTCAACTTATGATCACAATTAAGCCCAAAACATATGTTGCTGAGTGAGAGTTTTGTTAAGTGAGTTTTGCCCCATTTTATGACTTTTCTCACCACGTTTGTTAAGTGAATCACTGCAATTCTTAAATTAGGAACAAGGCTTTTAAGTGAATCTGGTTTCCCCGTTGACTTTATTTGTCAGAAGGTCATAAAAGGGGATCAGGTGACCCTGGGACACTGTAACCGTCATAAATGTGAGTCAGTTGCCAAGCATCCAAATGTAAATCAGATGACCATGGGGAAGCTTAACAACAGTCATAAGTGTGAAAAATGGTCATAAGTCACTTTTTTCACTGCCATCATAACGTTGGTCACTAAATGAACTGTTGTAAGTCAAGGACTACCAGTACAGGTAGTCCATGATTTAAGACCACTATTGAGCCCAAAATTTCTGTTGCTAAGCGAGGTAGTTGTTGAGCGAGTTTTGCCCCATTTTACAACTTTTCCTGACACTTTTTGTTAAGTGGATCACTGAAGTTGTCAAGCTAGTAACATGGCCGTTAAATGAATCTGGCTCCCTCCTTGACTTTGCTTGTCAGAAGGTTGCAAAAGGGGATCATTTGATCCCAGGACACTGCAATTGTCATAAATACCTGACAGTTGCCAAGCATCCAAATGTTGATTGCGTGACCATGGGGATGCTGCAGTGGACATAGGTGTGGAAAATGGTTTATCTGTCACCTTTTTCAGTGCCCTTGTAACTTCTAACGGTCACTAGATGAACCGTTGTAAGTTGAGGACTGCCTGTGTTATTATGAGGATAGTCACTATTCTGTACAGGCTTTGCTTGTACACTGAGAGCTTCTTTGTCGGAGATGAATCCTTCTGTGTGTCTAATCACACTTGGCCAAATCAAGTATTCAATTCAATGGCACCAGTGGTGGGATTCATTTTTTTTTTTACTACCGGTTCTGTGGGCGTGGCTTGGTGGACGTGGAGTGGCTTGGTGGGTGTGGGTTGGTGGGCGTGGCAGGGGAAGGTTACTGCAAAATCCCCATTCCCTCCCCACTCCTGGCGGGAAGGTACCAATGGGTTCTCCAAACTACTCAAAATTTCTTGCTACCGGTTCTCCGGAACAGGTCAGAACCTGCTAAATGCCACCTCTGAATTGCACCTGAAAATAACACTTGTCATTTTTACTTACCCAACGGCAAGGCAGGGTTTTTAAAGACATTTCCGAGGGCGTAGCAGGCATTCCAACGCACTTTCATCGTGGCATCACTCTGCACCGTCGACGTCAGAGCCTGGATGGATTCCTCAATGGGTTGGCTGAATTTGGGGCTGGCGATGTGGGACGGCTGGAGAAAATGAAGGAGGTTTCCCAGGGCTCGGACAGCATTGCTCTTGACCTGAAGAGAGATGGGAAAAGTCTGTGGCTTGTACTATAAAAACAAGAGCTGTTACTGCCTTAAAGTACTGAACGATGTCATGAATCCATCTTGCTCTGAAGTCCGGCCTTTTCAGGCCTCTGAGCCGATAGAATGGACCAGGTCTTCGTAAGGACAAGGGTACCACTTCAAACCTTCTTTCTTGCAAGCTAGCAGTGTGTAAAAAAATCAACTGGCATGATGTTTATTTTTGACTGAGTGGCATGGTGGCCCAGTGGTAAAGAAGGCCGCCTCCTACTGGGAAGGTTGAAAGTTCAATCCTAGGAAATAGTAGATATTTCTCTCTCTGGGCGCAAAAAAATAAAATAAAAATCTGCTGCAAACTCCACATAGGTGTCAGGAAGGGCATTAAATGCTCAGCTCCATAAAGTCGCCTCGACTCTATCCTGAATTATGGGATTACTGGGGTTATAAAAAGGGACCACTGGACTTGGTTTATTTAGAAAAGCATTTCGATGTCTTTGTGCTTGCTTTTCTTATACCCTGAAGCGACATTCTGCATTGTATAGACAGAAAATCAGTAAATTATCTACTTGGCATATGCTTGGTCTACTGGTTAAGGCATCAGTAGAAATCAGGAGATTTTGAGCAATTCAAGTCCTGCTTTAGCCATGAAAGCCGGCTGGGTGATGTTGGGCCAGCCACTCCCGCTCAGCCCAATTCACCTCACAGGGTGGTTGTTATGGGGACAATAGGAGGAGGAAAATATGTTGGATATTTTGACTTATTTGTAAAAACAATAAATGCAGGATAGGGACAAATAAATAAATGTTATTGTAATATTCCATTGTATTTTTATTTCTGTTTTTTTTCTCTCACACAAATGCTGTCACATTAGGGATTTGTAATTTTGTCTATTGTATGAGGCAAAAATACAAATAACATTGTGTACAATGTCCTGAGAAGGCTGTACAGATGATATAAAAATGCTTAAAAGAGGCTGCAAACAGAGTTTTCCATGGTGAAGAATCTTCTGTAAAAAAATGCAATTGTCAAGCTTCAAATTTCCCTAAAAAGAACCAGCCTCTTAAAATTAATTATGTGCTATCAAGTCATTTTCAATTCCTAGCAACCGCCTAGATATATTTTCTCCATGAGCCTGTTGAATAAATGGTAAAAAAATATCAAGATGTGTTACAGGGAATTGTATACTTTATATATTGATATTCGTTTATTTGATTGATTTTTATCCTGCCTTTATTACTTGCTTACTCAAGGCAGCAAACATGCCCAAAACACATTTTCCTATTTTTCCCATAACAACCTTGTGAGGTGAGTTGGGCTGAGAGGGAGGAACTGGCCCGTGGTCTCTTCCTCCAGGAAATCGCTTCAATTGTTTTTCAAGACAAGATTTGATTCCTACTGATTTCAAATTAGTCAATCAAGGGTCAAATTTAGTCAAAAGGTGATCATTACCTTTTGACTCCCTTTGAATTATTTTCCATTCCAGCTGCCCTTTCTAGAACTGAGGAAGAGAACTGAGGAACAAGTTCACTTTTTAAGTAACTCAAGGTGGCAAACATACCTAAAACACCTTCCTCCTCTTATTTTCCTCACAACAACAACCCTGTGGGGTGGGTTGAGCTGAGAGAAAGTAACTGGCCCAAAGTCACCCAGCCAGTTTTCATGCCTAAGGCGGAACTAGAACTCACAATCTCCTGGTTTCTCAGTCAGCATCTTACCCGCTATACCAGGGGTATCAAACTCATGTCCTCACGGCAGTGTCACGTGATGTATCGGGACTTTCCCCCCCTTCGCTTAACTGGGAGTGGGCGTGTCCAGGGGGGTGACGCATCTGGCCCGCGGGCCGGGAATTTGACAGCCCTGCACTATACCAAGCTGGCTCTGAAGAGAGAAAACCCACAATAGGTCCATTTTTAAATGAAAATCTTCCCTGTTTAAATAAGTAACTCCGACTTCTATGTCCTTCACAGGTTAGTCCATCTCATCACATTTGTTCTGTTCCCACTGAATCGCTTGGTGTTTTTCTTGGCACTTTCCCACTTATATGTAACTTGACAAATGTTGCCTGCCAAACTGTACAATCTGCTGCCTTTTTATAAGCTCACGTGCGCAAATCTTGAGATACTTGCCTTATCTTTGTCTTTCGATGCCTCGGTTGCTGATCGTAACATTTTCAGGAGTAACAAGTCTGAGAATTCATCCTGGAAACTTTGTCCCATTATCTCCCTGTTTCCCACCAAACAAAAACAAAGAAATCAGAAACCACTCCAGCAAGATCAAAAATACCAACAAATATCCACAGGAGTCCATCTTGAAGCAGCCTCTCCAATTTATACCTTTTGTATCTTTCATTATTTTTAAAGAAGGCTTGATTTGGAGAGATTAAAGTTTTTTTTTAAATAACATGTTCATATCTGAGAAGACATTACAAAAATGTGGCATTATGAGCAATCTCTACATCTGATGAATAAAGGGGCTTTGAGTTTTTATATTCTTTTGTCTGTCCCTTTCAACGTATGAATTAGTTATAGCTGTGATGGCAAACCTATGCCACTTGTGCCAGAAGTGGCACGCAGGACCATCTCTCTAGGCACGACAGCCGTTGTCCGTTGCTCTTCCGGGTTCCGGCACGCACATGTGCGCAAGCCAGCTGATCTTTGCACACGCGGGAGCACTGGAAACTGGAACACCAGCTCTCCAGAGTGCATGCGCACACCAGCCAGCTGGTCTTTATGTGTACGGGAGCTCTGGAAACTGGAAGAGCAGCTCCCCGGAGCACTTGCGCATGCCAGCCAGCTGGTCTTCGTGGGCACGGGAGCACTGGAAAAAGGAAGAACAGCTCCCCAGAGCGCATGCGCATGCCAGCCAACTGGTCTTCACATGCATATGCATGTTAGAAACCGGAAGATCAGGCAACCAGTGCATATGTGTGCGCTGGGAAGCTAACTTACGGTTTCCAGTGCTACCATCCGCGTGTCAGGAAGCTGCTCTTCTGGTTTCCAACGTATGCGCACGTACTCCCGTTTCAGCACTTGGTGCCAAAAAGGTTAACCACAGCTGAGTTATAGTATTCATTTGAAAATGGCCTCTCATAGTTAATTCCTTTCCTTTAGGATACTTCTGTATGTTTTTTTGTTTTGAATTGTGTTCCAGGAACTTGGATTCATCATTAAAGAAAGGAAAGGGAAGAAGAAATAACCTTAAACCAGCAACCTACTTGTTGATGATTAGAGTGTCTGTCAGATTTCCCAAAGACCAAGCTGCTTTGGCACGGACATTTGGAGAAGGATCACCGAGAGAATTCAGAACTGTGTTGGCCGTGTCAGTGACAAACATCACATCCTAAGATCAGATATTGGTCATTAATATATTGTTATCCCCCACCCCCACATAGTCTGCTACATACCCTGTTTCCTTGAAAATAAGCCCCAACCAGAAAAAAGCCATAGCATGATTTTTCAGGATGCTCGTAATATAAGCCCTACCCCCCAAAATAAGCACTAATTGAGATTGTCACCCAGATGCATTTCCCCCAAAATAAGACCTAACAGGAAAATAAGCCCTAATGTGTCTTTTGGAGGAAAAATGAATATAAGGCTCAGTCTTATTTTCGGGGAAACGCGGTATTGTGTAATTTCTTCCTCAACACCATCAAATGTTAAGAATGTATCTTCTCTAAGGAAACAATATTGTCTTACCCAAGATGTTCATCGTTTTACCGATTTTTAATTACAGATGAGCTGTAGCCAAACTTGTCTGATCCCCTGATGTTGCAATGGTTTGGAAAAAACTTTTCATTTCAATGCTATCATAGCTACTTAAGAATCAACCACAATTGCTTCAATGTACCATATGCGTACCCTTGTCGCAATCTTATCATTACTTTAATTGCTTTTCTGCATTTCCTGCTATCCGTGCAGCTCCACGCTGCTCTTCAGAACCACAGCCTTATTGGACTCTCCTTTCTTGCTTCCTAACTGACTTTCTTTGGTAACCTGCCCCTAACTCTATTTCTACTTCAATTGCTAAACTATTTAAACTTGCTTCCACCCCCCTGCCCCCAGGAGACATTCACTTTTCCAGACATTCATTCATTCATTGCTTTCATGAATGAAGGCAAATATACATGCCCAAGAATAATGCTGCAGGGTCTAATATGCTTTAGGCTAGTCTATCGTATTTATGTGGTGCCTGGTGGTGTGTGGATTTTTAATTGTCGATTGGGGTGTTGATAGGTGGCTTTTAAGCAGCTGGCTGTTGCACAAGGAACTTTGGCTGTTGCACAAAGAATCAGCAGTCAACAACTTCATAGCTGGCCATCAATACCCCAATCGACAACTAAACAGTTGTCCTTTGGGGGTATTGAGTCTGAAAACTCAGAAGTTTAAACCTCTGGTCCCGGTGGCCGGTGGGATCCTGCATTCATAGCTTTACAAGGCTGCCCAATTCAGACAGCGTGATTCGTGCTTACAATGTAAAAGTCAAGTTGATTGTGGGTATGCATCTCTGCAGTTTATTCAAAAGTGGTTTGTCAATGCTTTCTCTGTTCCGACTCCCTTATTCTGGCCTACGGACCTGAGGTTCCCTGGAGCCTGTCAATTACTTTTGAGACCAACCAAGGTTGGCTAGATGCTGCCATCTGCTGAGGCAAGAGATCTCACTTGCAAATAGAGATTTAAATGCCTGGGGTTTTTCCCCCCTGCTTTTGAGACAGGATACAACATAAGGGCTCCCACCCTAATGATATTCCAAAAGTCTCTGAAGACCTAGCCGGTTCTCCCAGACCTTTCTCTAAGGTAAATACCAAGCCATTCCCCTGCTGGTTGTTTTTATCATATATTATCTTTTCCAGACAAAAATTGGAGTTTTCTTGCTTAGCTCTATGTTTCTAATTTTTAAGGAACAGTCACCTGAACTCAGGTGGCTCTAAAGTTATAATTATGATTTAATTATCATAATAATACATGCTGTGGCAAAAATTCTGTGCAGGTAGTCCTCAATTTATGATAACAATTGAGCCCCAAATTTCTGTTGCTAAATGAGATGTTTCTTAAGTGAATTTTGGTCCATTTTATGACATTTCTTGCCACAGTTGTTCAGTGAATCATTGCAATTGCCAAGTTACTAACACAGTTATTAAGTGAATCTGGATTCCCCATTGGCTTTGCTGGGCAGAAGGTCACAAAAGGGGATCCCCTTTGGGATACAGCAACGGTCGTAAGTATGAACTTGTTACCAACCCTCTGAATTTTGATCATATAGTCATGGGGATGCTGCAAAGGTTGTAACTGAAAAATGGTTACAAGTCACTTTTTTCAGTGCCGTCGTCACTTTGAACAATCACTAAATGAGCTGTTGTAAGTCGAGGACAATCTGTACACAGTGCATAATATCTGTGGGACTGAGAGGTTTTTGTACAGAGGGGGAAAAAATTGGCTGTAAGCATCATTCTGGTATGAGAACAGATCTTGTCCACTGCTCTTTTACAAAACAGTGAAAAGAGAACTGAAAAAGCTTCTGGGATGAGAAGAGAAACATCTTCAAAGAAAAACCAAGAAAGTCCAGTTGCCTCCTGAAAAGGGGCAACTGCCTCCTGAAAAGGGTCTCCCTTTGGGACAACCACGATCTGGAGGACTGAGAATCTCCATAAAACTGTGAAAACTTTCCCCAGCACTACAAAACAGGGTTCCTCTTTTTCTGGGTACGGCACTGTTTAGGTGTTGGTTGAGGAAGTTTCATTTTACAGTCGGATAAAGCAAAAACCAAAGCAGCTCAGGTGCTTTACCTGCTGAAGGCACGGGAAGACAATGTACACCCCAAGCGCCCGTGAAGCTGCGGCTTTCACCAGAGGATTCTCACTGTGGCTGAGTCCAAGAAGGATCGTGATGCAAAGGATCTGTTTGTTGTCCTGCATCAACAACAGAAAGAAGTCAGTCCTTGAGAGTTGCAAAACTTAATAGCATTTAGCAATAGCATTTAGACTTATATACTGCTTTATGGCCCTCTCTAAGCGGTTTACAGAGTCAGCCTATTGCCCCACAACAATCTGGCTCCTCATTTTAGTAACCTTGGAAGGATGAAAGGCTGAGTCAACCTTGAGCCAGTCAGGATCAAACTCCTAGCAGTGGGCAGAGTTAGACTGCAATAGCAATAGCACTTAGATAGTGCTTCACGGTGCTTTTACAGCCCTCTCTAAGCGGTTTACAGAGTCAGCCTCTTGCCCTCAACCATCTGGGTCCTCATTTTATCGATTTCAGAAGGATGGAAGGCTGAGTCAACTATAAGCCTTCTGAGATTCGAACTGCCAAACTGCCGGCAGATGGCAGTCAGCAGAAGTAGCCTGCAGACAGTAGTGCATTTTAACCACTGCATCACTGCGGCTCTTAGTGGATTAAACTCAATCTACTAACGTATTTCATCCCAGGAGTAAATTAAAATGCCTAACCTAGAAACTGATGCAGTGCCAAAGGATGGCAAAGCACTGGCACAGTGTACCCTTTTTAGAATGACTTATTGTCAGTGCAAAGAACCAGGTTCATATGTCAAGTTGCAGTTAAGATGATTTATTGCTCAAGCTATACATAAGAATCTAGTCAATAAAGTTCAATACAGTTAGTCCTCGACTTAAGACCACAACTGAGCCCAAAATTTCTATTGCCCAAGTGAAACATTTGTTGTGAGTTTTGCCCCGTTTTATTAGCTTTCTTGCCACAATTGCTAAGTGAATCAGCTGCAGTTATTAAGTTAGTAACACAGTTCTTGCGACATGACACTGCAACTGTCATAAGTATGAGCATGTTGCTAAGCATCCAGATTTTGATCATGTGATCATGAGGAGGCTTCAATGGTCAAAAGTGTGAAAAATGCACTTTTGCAGTGCCATTGTAACTTCGAACAGTCACTAAATGAACTGTTGTAAGACAAGGACTACCTGTATGAGAGAATGGTCAAGAGAATTCAAAAGGGATGGACTTAGATCATTGGTGGGACTGTAACAATTCTAAGGTGATGACATGCTTAACTCCACCCTCCCCCACCTCTTTCTGTTCTTCTCCTACACTTACAGGAGGGGGCGCCAGAAGCAATCTAGTTCTCAACAGATGCAATAGTTCACAACATGAAGTGACTGGATGCCATTTTGCCAGCTTCGCAGTCTCAGCAAGTATCTCTGTCAGCAAAACCAAACAACGTTTATTGATGGCTTTCAAATCTTGCACTTGCAAACTTAATACAAACACAGGTCCTAGCCATGCACTTACAGGGAGACGGCTAAAAGCTTCGGGCAAAATAGAGGAGAGGGCATCACACGTGCTGGTCTGGAGAGTTGGGTGCTCGGCGTTTTGGAGGGCAGCCGGTAAAGGTCCATTCAGCATCCTTGTCCAGAATGTCACGACCTATGAGGTGGTAAAGAAAATCCTTGCAGTTTCATTCACAGAGATATATTTTTCATTCACAGAGATATATATTTTTTATCTCTAGCACTGAGATTATATGCCACCCAATAGTTTTTTACACTCTCTGAGTGGTTTACGGAGTCAGCATATTCCTCACAATCTGGGTCCTCATTTTACCAATCTTGGAAAGATGGAAGGCCGAGTCAACCTTGAGCCAGCCAGGATTGAACTCCTGGCTGTGGGTAGAGTTAGCCCGCAATATTGCACTCTAACCACTGCGCCACCATGGCTCTTATTATAAATCTAGATATGAATGAAATAAGGCAAAGGCTACTGTTTGTAAAAAAGCAAATCTTGCCATCATTCGTGTATTTTATTTATTTATTTAACTGATTAGTTTTTTTAATTCCACTTTTTTATTATTAGAAATAACTCAAAGCAATAAATATTGAATAATCTCTCCTTCTATTTTCCCGACAACAACCCTGTGAGGGAGTTGAACTGAGAAAGGGCCCGTCATCTCTTCCTCCAGAAAACGGATTCAATTCTTTTTCAAGATTCCTATCGATTTCAAATTAGTCAATTAGGCATCAAATTTATTCAAAAGGCAATCATTATCTTTTGACTTCCTTCCTTTGAATTGTTTTTCATTCCAGCTGCCCTTTCTAACAAGTTAATTAAGAAGTGGGGGACAAGCTTACTTTATTTACCTTTCCTATTGAATTTTTATTCTATCATTGTGATTTATAGGGGTCTCTTTACTACTGAGCTACCCTAAAAAAAACTTTTTCAACTGGAGATGGGAAGAAAATGTTTCAAATTAAAAACAACAACCCAAAGCCAAGTTCCTGACTGCGATAAATGAAGCGGAATATTATGTCTGTAGGTATACGTTTGTAATATTTGTTCTGACAAGGCTTATTGAGACACTAACAAACACACGTTAGTCCCAAAACCCTTTTTCCTTTATTTCAACAGCTGTGAATTTTAGTCATTCACAGGCCGCAATGAGTCTCAAACAGTTTGTAATCGTCCCATGGAAGTCTGACAAAGTCCTTCAAGGATAAATCTGGTAAGCACGCACCTTTATCTTCCTTGAAATGCTGCCAACAACGAAATTTCCAATTAGTTATATAAGGCCAAATTCAACACAGAGCTTCAGGTTTCAAACTGACCAGTACGAACAAGGTTGCTTCCTGCAAAGGTTCCCGTCCCTTTGCTCCTCCTCCAAGCCTTACTCCCGAGTCGCCCCTTTTGTCTTAACTGCTCTTGCCTTCTGGCAGCTCTGCGCACGTGCGCACTGGGAACAGGCTCCCCTTGTTCCTCTGCCTCGCTGCTGTCAGATTCTGGAAGCTCTGGAGTCAGCACATAACTCCCAGATGGTCCTGGCCCCATCTCTGTATCGGATGCAGGACCCTCCTCTGAGTCCTCCCCAGACTCCCGGACTGGCCTGTATTCCTCCCCACTGTCTGACTCTGCTGCTGTCTCTGCAGGCTGCCGGTGGGCCACAACAATATTTTACATTTGATATTTCTGTTTCTCGTGGTTTCTCACAGTGGTTAGAAGGCAGTACTGGCTGCCTGCAATTTGGCAGTTCAAATCACACCAGGCTCAAGGTTGACTCAGCCTTCCATGGTCGGTCAAATGAGGACCCAGATTGTTGGGGGCAATAGAGGCTGACTCTGTAAACCGCTTAGAGAGGGCTGTAAAGCCTTGTGAAGCGGTATATAAGTAAGTGCTATTGCTATAATACCATAACAGTACAAGACATACCAAGTCAATGGGTACTCGCTGATCTGTAACTAGGTCTGGCTTGCACTGTTGTATTATACCCACTCCAAGTTCATCCAGGAGCTGCCAGAAACAAGGAAAAGAAAGGAATATCAGAAAGGAATATTATGAATTTGCAAAGCAAGATACCATACAGAGACAGTTATACAGGTAAGTCCTCAACTTACATTTGTTCATAGATACAAAGTATCCGTTCATAGATACAAAGGCATAAGAAAAGGCGAATTACAGCCAATCTTCCCACTTACGATGGTTGCAGCATCCCCACAGTCACATGATCAAAAATTTGGTTGCTTGGCATCGGCCTGTATTTATAACAGCTGCAGCATCCCAAGATCATGGGATTCCCATTTGCCACCACTCCAGCTGGCTTCTGACAAGCAAAGTCAATGGAATAAGCCAGATTCACTTAACAATTGCAGTGATTTGCTTAACAACCGTGGCAAAAAAGGTCATAAAATCAGGCATGACTCATTTATCAGACGCCTTACTTAGCAACAGAAATTCTTGCCCAATGATGGTTGTAACTCGAGAACTACATGTACTGGACCAAAACTAATATTGCAGTAAATCACAATATGGTTTAATTTGGATTAAGTTATTCAGGTGTGGCTTATGTAGTAACTATAGCTTAACGTGACTCTCATTACTGATAGGTTTTGCTTCTTTTTAGAATAAATCAAGGAAAACCAGTGAAAAGAAATCCTGTTGGTTTCTTTGAAATATTCTCACATTTTTTGTATGAATAACATTTAATTCCAGCATTTAAGTATAGTTTAGTAATTTAAATCACCAAATGGAGTCTCTGAATCACAAAATAAGTAATTTTGAACCATCATTATTTAATACAACAGCACAGATAGATTGTATTTTTTAAAAAAAACATGTAAAGCTATGTTTATGGATTTCCTGTAAGAAAATTTTTTTTATCAACAAGGAATCAATATTTCTATAAGCTAAATACCATTCTCCATAAGATAAACCCATATAAAACAAAAAATAATTTTCTCCAAAGCTTCAAATCATGATTGTCCAATCTTTTGGCTTGCCTGGGCCGCACTGAGCGAAGAGAAATTATCTTGAGCCACATATAAAGCATATAATAATGCACAGTATATAAATAATGTATATAAATAGATAATAAATAATAAATATAGTATAGTTTATGCATATACATACATGTATAATGTATATCTTTTATTTTTTAAATATTTCTACAATCTTGTGGGACCATATTATTAGCTGTCCAAGGCCACATGTGATCCATGGGCTGTGGGATGAACACATCTGCATTAAATGGATGTTTGCACTTACTTTTGCTCCATGGAGCTGAAGTGATGGATCTGCTTCCTCCATGCATTTACAAGCCACTTCGCCAAGTTCTAGTAAACAGCTTTGAGCAAGGACAAAATAGCCCTTCACAAGCAGTGCCAAAACCTATAGTAGATTGAAGCCAGGAGAAGGAAAGGGAAGAAACATAATGGGAGTTTTAATATTTAATAGGAAACCTATTGGGGGGGGGCAATAACTGCTTAGAAAGGACTGTAAAGCACTATAAAGCGGTATATAAGTCTAAGTGCTATTGCTATTGCATGACATTTAGAACATATCTAAATTGCCATTTGAATAGTATCGCCAATAGCAATTGTGATCAAAGATGGCTGCCATTCTTTCATTTTATTCTTGTCATATGTTCTTATTTTTATTTTGAATTTGATATTAATATTTTTAAATAGTGTTCACTATTCAAATTGTTTATACAAACTGGGATTCAATATCAACTGAATAAACTAAAAAAAAATACAAGTTATTTTCTGTCAGCTGATATTTGAAAATTTGAAATGAACTATCCAGCATATAAAAGGTGAACAGATGTACTGTCACGTCCTATGGACTTTCAGATCAATTAAACTGCAAACCGAACACTATTTAAAGATGCACCCCAGAGTAAGGTTCTAGTATCTAATGCATCCTAAAATCCTAAAGTGAAGCTAAATAGGAGCATTCTCAGCTATAACTGCTGGGAATGATTTCTGCATCTCTTTAATAACTTTGGGAGCAATGTTACAGGTGATCTTGATGTATTCCAGGCTCTTTGCCTAGTCTATAGTCTTGCTTTTTGTACTTCTCTATCTCTATTTATTTATTTAAACAAATGGCTATGTATTCAATCAATCAACCAACCAATCTATCAGTTTCTATAGCCACCATCTTAGCCAAGTGACTCTGGGCAGCTTGCAATTCTAAAACTATAATACCATAAGGCATGGGAAATCAAGAATAACAGATATAAAAGCTCAAAGCAATTGTTTGATTCCGGCCAGACCACTCTACACAACTATCTGTTAAATCATCGTCCTCTTTTAACGATCCCATAATCCCTTGCGGGGTGGAGTCTTAACAACTGAATGGAGTTGAGTATTTACTGGCCGGATGTCCTTCTCAGTGTGCCCAGAGAGAGAAGTATCTGCCTCTACCTGGGATCGAACTCGCAGTCTCCTGATCGTGAGGCGAGAGCTCCACCTCTAGGTCACCATGCCACTCAAACTATCTGATAAATGCTGAAAGAAGTTAAGAGGGGAATCCTTCCTGCAGCTGCTTCCTGCATAGCAACAACTCCAGGATGAATTGTCGCTCTTGCTCACAATTACAGATCGCATTCCACCGCAAATACAATAAAAGCAATAAAAGCATCCAAACATAATGGTGTACAGTTGCCGAGATAGTTCATCAACTAACAATAAAACCGAGAAATGGGGGTGTTAACATATTCCGAAGATTGGGGCCATTCTAATCCCTCATGGGAGAATATTCCACAAGGCAGGGGCTACAGCAGAGAAGGCCCATCTTCTAGTTCCCAACAGTCGACCCTTTTGGTTGACGGGATCCGCAACATGTCCAATTTGCTGAATCAAATTGGATGGGTATAGATTCTATCAGCAACCAACCAGCTGTCTCTCCTTATCCACGTACCTGCAGTGCCTCCAGGCGAACTGGTGAGGGTTCATAGGTGCTAACGGTTGACACACAGGTGGTGTCGCTATCCGAATAGCAATCTTCTCGGGGCAACACAGCAAGAGAGATGCAGAGACGCAGGAGCCAACAGGGCTCGGTTGTTGTCTTCTCCAGGGCAAGCGATGGTTCCCCTGAGACCAGAAGAGGTTCTCTGCGCCATTCAGGAGCACCGGAACGAAGCAGCAGGGCGGGGGTGCCATTGCTCATCCCCAAAGAGACCGGCTGCTGCAAAAGGAGAGACACCTCAGGCAAAGGGGCTTGAGCTGACACGATGGAACCCAGTAGAGTCAGGCTTGACACTCGAACATTAACATCTGGGAATAAAGAAAACACAGATGGCACACATGGAGCAGCTATTCTGGCACAGTGGTTAGAGTGCAGTACTGCAGGCTACTTCTGTTGACTGCCGGCTGCCTCTGCAATTTGGCAGCTCGAATCTCACCAGGCTCAAGGTTGACTCAGCCTTCCATCCTTCCGAGGCTGGTAAAATGAGGACCCAGATTGTTGGGGAAAATAGACTGAGGACTGTAAAGCAGTGGGAAGCGGTATATAAGTCTAAGTGTTATTGTTATTCTAAGCCAAAGAAAGATGGCACCCTAATGCATTATGGATTCTGAAGGAAAGGAGCAACGGCTATGGATTGGTTACGCTGCTCAATATCATAGAACAGCCTGGAAATCCAAGCCTGTTACCTAAACCTGCGGGGTCAGCAACCTGCGGCTCTGGAGCCACATGTGGCTCTTTTATCTCTCTGCTACGGCTCCATCGCTCAAAATATGCGTCACTACTGCCAATGTGCGACACTTGCTGGCATGTGATTTATTGAGCTTTTTGGTCCCCGGTAGGCCAACCATGGCTAAATCCAAGAAATGAAAAGTTTCAGAAGAGAACAGAACATTTAATTCCATTACATGTGCTAGATTTGTGGCCGCTCAGTAAGTAGACAGACATGGAAAAGGTTTTGTGGCTCCGGGTGTTATCTTTTCTGTGGGAAACGGGTCCAAATGGCTCTTTGAGTATTTAAGGCTGCCAACCCCTGACCTAAACCACTTGACAAAGGATGCAGCAATCAGAACGGGGCTGGGAAAAGAAACAGCAAGCACTCCGGAAGATGGGAACGATGAAAGGAAGATTGAAAAATGACCCGGTTCAGAAAGACACAAGGAAAAAGCTTCAAATTAAACAGCATTAGGTATTTTGTGTATTGTGCCCAGTGGTTCCATGAAAGGTAAAGTTTTTCCCTATCCAGTTGTTTCTGACTCTAGAGAGCAGTACTCATCTCCATTTCTTGGCTGAGGGAGCCACCACTATGCGAAGATACTTCCGTAGTCATGTGGCCAACATTGACTATACGCCGAGAGACACAAAACAATGTTATCTTCCCAAATAAGTGGTACCTATTGATCTACTCACATTTGCATACTTTTGAACTGCTAGGTAGGCAGGAACTGAGGTGAGGACAGGTGCTTACCTGATTGCACAGTGCTGATCTCAAACCCAGACTTTGCAGTTGATAAGTTCAGTGTCTTTAACCACTGAACCATCACGTCCCCTAGTGGTTCCATAATCATCATTTAGTAAGGTCTCCAAAGCTAAATCTGTCCTTCCACCTCAGAGAATTTTAGCTCCAGAACTATCACTTAGGAGATAAAGCTGGCCTACATCTTCCATATTTTTGTCATAGCGGGATTTCTATGAAACCTCTGGCTGAAGTAGGATGGAACAAAAGAAGATATGTTCAATTACAGGTAGTCCTTGACATATGCCATAATGAAGCTTACTACGGTTGAAAAAGGGGTTGGTCACCCAGTTTTTTGTGGTGGCTAATAAAACACACACGTTGGTTGTAAATGCAAACTGTGGCACAGTTGATTGCATGACCACAGCATGCTGCAAACAACCGTACATGACCATTCAAAGTTCAGTCATGTGAATGAGGGGTGAGGACAACTGTCAGAATTTTGCATCAAGATTGTAAGTCTCCTTTTTAGGTAGTTTGTAAATTTGAATGCTAAGCAAACAGTTGTAAGTCACGGACTACCTGTGTTAATTCACACTTCCTTTCCTACAGCAAATTATTCTCTTTTAAACCATAACAGCAATAGCACTTAGCAATAGTACTTAGACTTACATATCACTTCACAGTGTTTGACAGCCCTCTCTAAGCAGTTTACAGAATCTGCATATTGGCCCCAACAATCTGGCTCCTCATCTTCCCAACTTTGAAAGGATGGAAGGCTGAGTCAATCTTGAACCGGTGAGATTTGAACTGCTGAACTGCTGGCAGTTGGCAGTCAGCAGAAGTAGCCTGCAATACTGCATTCTAACCACTGCGCCACCATGGCAAGAAGATTGCTTGGTACCATAACCACAGATGATATCACAGTTCCATATGCCGCTAATTATTAATATTACACAGGAGTTCCCCACATCCACACAAATTTGCATGGATGGCTCACAACCACATATACAAGAGCTAACCAATTTGATAATAACTTCTGTAGAGACACAAAGGTGCATAATTATGTGCTGGCATATTCCTGTCTCTCTTTTAAAAGAACAAAACTCGTGATCTGAGAAAAAAAAAAAGAAACAATCCACTAGCAAAACTTCTAAAAACAGATGGGATATAAACCTGTTGTACCCCACCATCTGATGCTTCTGTTAACTGCCACACACAGCATTGCTTCATCCAAAACAACCAGCTGGACAATACGTTTTACTGCAAATAATACAAGTATCAAAACAGCTACACCAGGAGTTGTCAAACTCGATTTCATTGAGGGCCGTATCAAGGTTGTGCTCGAGCTCAGGGGGTGGGGGGGGAGGCATGTCCAGGTGAGCATGGCCATAGTGGGCGTGGACAGCTCAACGTCACTAGTGTCGGGGGCACCTACGGTGGCCCACGCGGGGCTGGAAGGGATCCAGTTTTGCTAGTAGTTCGTTTTGCTAGCACTCTGCCAGGGAGAGCCTGCCCCCTCAGGCTCCATTTTTGGGCTATGATGGCCTCCTGCAGCCCTCTGCCAGCAAAAAGGGCCATTTTTGCTGGCGGAAGCACTGCGGGCCGGTCCTTCGCTGTTTCCAGGGTGGCCCTGCGGGCTAGATCTAAGCAACCCATGGACCTTGAGACTGACACCCCTGAGCTGCACAAAGGAATAATGTAAAATAACTGCATACCTTTATGTTTAATGTATGGCTTTATCTGGTTCCATACTCTTGATAGCAGGCCAGGCTTCAAACGGTTATACGGTACATTTGAGACCAGATTGGCAAGGCACTGTCAACGAGGAAGAAAAATGAAAAATTACCTCAACTTATGACCACAAGCGAGCCCAGAATTTCTGTTGCCAAGCAAGACAGTGACCCAAAGGGGCTTTTCTAAAAAGCAACTGGAGTTTCTGGGGAGATTTTTTTTTCCTTTGAAAATGTTTTGCTTCTCATCCAAGAAGCTTCTTCAGTTCTGACTGAAGTTGGAACTGAGGAAGCTTCTTGGATGAGAAGCAGAACATTTTCAAACAAAATAAAAATTTTTAAAAAAACCAAGGAAGTCCAGTTACCTTTTGAAAAGGGACCTTTGGGACAAACATGACCTGGATGGCTGAGAATCTCCAGAGATGGCTGTTAAGTGAGTTTTGCTCCATTTTACAACATTTCGTGCTGCAGTTGTCAAGTGGATTGCTGCAAGGGTTAAGTTAGTAACATGGTTGTTTAAGTGAATCTGGCTTCCCCATTGACTTTGCTTGCCAAAAAACTGCTGGTTGATTACGTGACCCCAGAAAATGCTAGCTGCCAAGAGTTCGAATTTCCATCACGGGACCCTGGGTGATGCCTCAACCATCGTAAGTGTGAAAAATAGTCATAAGCCATTTTTTCAGTGCCATTGTAACTGTGAACAGCCACTACACAAATGATTATAAGTTGAGGACTACTTGTATGAAAGAGAGATTACGATTCTACATCGTGGAAATGTCCTGTTTTCTTATTTCTCACCCCACTTTTTTACTTGGGGGGGGGGGGGGGGGGCAATGTCAGTTTAAGAATATAAGGATGAGGATTGTCCTTTGCTTAATTTTTTTAGTGCTCTGTAAGCTTTTCCAGATAAATTTCCCCTCACATCCTGGATATAAACTGTTTTAACATCTACCCTCAAGATGACGCTAAAAGGCAGGGGTGTCAAATTCACAGCCTGCGGGACAGACGCCTCACATGCTGGTCCCGCCCCTGCCTGGTTTAGCAAAGGAGCAAAAAAGTCCCAATAGGTCACGTGGTGACACCGAGTTTGACACCCCCACTATAGGGCATTGCACGCCAGAACAACTTGGCACAAGGACAGTTTTCTTCCCCATCCCATCACTCTGCTAAACAACTAATTTGATTAGACAACTAATTTGCTTACAACTACACTGTGAAACTATCTAGTAAGCCTATATTACTATTATTATTATTCTCATTTTTCCTATTAAAGTAGAACCTCTGGTCATGACCATAATTCGTTCCATAACTTTGGTTGCAACCTGATTTGGTCCTGACCCGAACCTAATTTTGGAAATTTGGCGCTTACAAAAAAAAAAAAAAAGGCACAGAAGGGGAAATTGGCTGCAAAAAAATACTGTGAATTTTTTGGTCGGAACCTGATTTGGTCTGGTCAGAAGCGTTCGTGACCCTCTAGAGGTTCTGCTGCACCTAACTTTGATTGTATCTTTCATTTTAAATTGTTTTATTTAGTATCTTAGTATGACTTAGTATGCTGATTGCTTATTTAGCATCCTATGACTATCACTATCACTAAATGTTGTATCTTATGCTTTATAATGAATATATTTTTTGATGACTATGATCATGAATTATCACTTGTTGCTTTTATGTACATTGAGAGCTTATGCATCAGAGACAAATTCCTTTTGTGTGCAATCACACTTGGCCAATAAAGTATTCTGTTCTGTTGTGTCCTTATCCCATTTGTATTTTAAATGCTTTAAGTATAATGGAGCAAGTCACTTTGCTGCAGCAATTAAATGCACTAGGCAAAAGAGTGTGAGTAGGCACCAAAGAAAGTTGGTTGAGTTTCGGCCTATCCCTCTTTCTCAGCCCCAAGAAGAAGTAGCAAACCACTTCCAAAAAATGTTCCCAAGAAAGCAAGGGATTTATCCAGGTAATCAGCCTTATGATTGATTTGAAGACATATAAACAAAAACCACACACAAACAAACAATTAAAAGTTGGTCTCTTAGGGAATCATCCCCCAAAATGGAGCCACTCAAATACGCTGCGTTAAATGGCTTGTCCGGAGATTACAGGTAGTCCTTGACTTACTTACAGTTCATGGTCGTATGATCAAAATTCAAACCCTCGGCAACTGGTTCATATTTATGACAGTTGCAGTATCCTGGGATCATGTGATCACCTTTTGCAACCTTCTAACAAGAAAGCCAATGGGGAAGCCAGATTCACTTAACAACCATGTTAAGTGATTAGTTAACAACTGTGGCAAAGGAAGTTCATAAAATGGGGCAAAACTCACTTAACAAATTACTCACTTGGCAATATAAATGTTGGGCTCAATTGTGGTTGTAAGTCAAGGACTACCTGTATAGAACCAGCTCCTTCATGGAGTACTCTAGGCTGGAGAAAATTGGAATAGCAAGGTGTGGCTAGGATTGCTATAATGCCACTCTACCAACAACAGGAGGAAGAAAGCAATGATTATGTAAAATAATTAAGACAAACCTTTGCAATTAACTTTGAATCATCTTTTATGTAAAACAATGGATGGAAACTAAGAAGCAATCTATAATTAAGGAAAAATTTCCTGACAGTGAGAACAACGAATCAGTGGAACAACTTGCCTCCAGAAGCTGTGAATGCTCCAACACTGGAAGTTTTTAAGAAGAGATTGGACAGCCATTTGTCTGAAATGGTGTAGGGTCTCCTGTTTGAGCAGAGGGTTGGACTAGAAGACCTCCAAGGTCCCCTCCAATGCTGTTATTCTGATACTCAGAACTACTAGAACTAGTAGAACAAAAGCAACTTCTGTAGACAAACAATTACCTTGATTATCTGGGTGAGGGTTTGGGATGAAGATTCGGCCACCAAAGCCAACAGCATGCACCGGTGAAGTTCTCGGATGCTGGAGGCAATGCTCACCGAGAAGGGAGTGAATGCTCTCTTGTGATCAATGGCATCTTCGGCAATGGATAGGAATTGCTTGGAACCTTCCAAAATGGCTGACATAACTTGAAAAGCACAGGCCCGTGTCTGCAACAGAACAAAATCAATGAAGGAGTTGAGCCTAGGCACCTGATGGATCCAAATTATCTTCTGCATCCTTTCTCAAGGATACCGCCAGAGATCCTGGCTGACCTATGGAAGGCAGAGAGGGCCTCAGCCATTGATATGATCACTCCTTAGCATATCCTTCCTCTGGCAAAATACCTTGATAGCTTTGTTGTTATAAGGGCTGGAGTGCCTGTGGAGGAACTTTAGAGTGAATTGGACTGAATTCTCTTTAAGACCCATATTCAACTACACTCCTGCATCCTGGACCTCACTTATAGATGTTAGCTAAGTTGTTTTAATTCTATCTTAAACCTTATTTTATTTATTTTTGATAGGATAGGGTAGGTTAGGATAGGGTAGGGCAGAATAAATAAAATGGAATGGAGTGGAGTAGAGTGGGATGGGATGGAGAACTCTGCTGTAGTGTTCTATCACCACATGTCAGCGTTCTGAGTAATGTACCCATTGAAATCAGAAAACCGAGGCAGGTAGATTCCTCAAAGAACATGGTTATTGGATACATCATATTGGCACAGCTGGTGAAAAACAACCCTGAAAGTTCCTGGGGTTTTCACCTAATTAAAAGAGTAAAAAATCCCCCCTCCAAGGTGTCACCGGTCACATTGTCCATTGAATATCGCTGGCAGGTCCCTGTCCTCCTTCAACAGCCACCTGTTATGATGACCTTGATTCCCACTGGAAAACTTTTTGTTTTGACTGCTAGTTGGGCTATCTACTTCCACCCTCCCTTCCCCCTCTCAGGCTTCGTGGCAACTAAGATGGTTTCAGCCAGGTTCGCTTCAGAGTTGACACCACAAAAAAGTGAACTGCATTGAACTGGATCCTATTCTATTGCAATGAGTGCTTGCGCTGGATCATACAGGATGAGCAGTCATTACAAAGGTAACGAATCCTCTTACCTTTGGGGATGGATCTTTTAAAGCAATTGTCATCAAAGACACTGTCTGTGGGCTTCCTATTCCAGGTTCATCAGAAATAAAAGCTGACCAGTAACCATAGAGCACTTTCTTCTCTATGGATTTCACAGCGGAAAGGAAGCAGGTTAAAGCCCCTTGGCGAACTTTAGCTTGGAAAGACCTGGCATGAACCAAAGACAAAATGAAAACAGGCAGGGGGAAATACTGATGTAACACCTTAAGAAAATGACATTGTCCTATTGGCCAATGGGGTGGGAGAGGGGGAAGTCTTTGATCTTAGAATAGGGTTGGAAGGGACCTTGGAGATCTTCTGGTCCAACCCCCTGCCCAAGCATGAGATCCTATATCAATCCAGATAAATTGCTATCCATTTCTTCTTGGAAACCTCCAGTGATGGAATACCCACAACTGTATGGAAACTAACCAAGGAGAGAAGCAGTCTAGAACTAAGGAGAAAATTTCTGAACAGTGAGAACAATTAACCTCTATTTGGCTTTTGAAATGGTTATTTTATTCTTGAATAGTAGAATTCCGGCAGTTCTGAAGTTCTTGGAAGAGGTGAAAAAATTCTCCCTACCTTTCCCCCCTACTTTTCCACTATGTGAGCAGTTTCCCAAAAGCCAAGAAATTAAAAGACATTTGCTCCTTGGGGAGGAAAGCTATGGCAAATCTAGACAGCGTACTAAAAAGCAGAGACATCACCCTGCCAACAAAAGTGCGTATAGTCAAGGCTCTGGTTTTCCCAGTTGCAATGTATGGCTGTGAAAGTTGGACCCTAAGGAAGGCTAAGTGCCAAAGAATGGAGGCCTTTGAACTCTGGTGCTGGAGAAGACTCCCTTGGCGAGTCCCTTGGGCTGCAAGGCCATCCAACTGGTCAGTCCTAGAAGAGATCAACCCTGACTACTCGTTAGAAGGCCAGATCCTGAAGATGAAACTCAAATACTTTGGCCATTTCATGAGAAGGAAGGACTCACTGGAGAAGAGCCCAATGCTAGGAATGATTGAGGGCAAAAGAAGAAGAAAGGGATGGCAGAGAATGAGGTGGAGTCACTGAAGCAGTTGGTATGAGCTTAAATGGACTCCAGAAGATGGTAGAGGACAGGAAGGCCTGGAGGAACGTTATCCATGGGATTGTGATGGTCAGACACGACTTTGCGATTAAGAACAAAATATTTGAGAGGTTGCCACAAAAAAGAGGCGGGGGGGTCAACTTATTTACTAAAGCACCTGAGGGCAGGACAAGAAACAATGGGTGTAAACCAAGGAGAGGAGAGAAGCAACCTAGAACTAAGGAGAAAATCCTAACAGTGAGAACAATTGATCAGTGGAACAGCTTGCCTTCGGACGGAGGTTTGTAAGTACTGGACAGTCATTTATGAGAAATAGTATAGGTCTCCTGCGATGGCAGGAGGGTTGAACTAGATGACCTCCAAGGTCCCTTCCAACTCTGATACTGTCCAGCTGAAGCAGGGTGTTCCCTATCCATACACTCAGTCTCCAAGCACTGAGGTAAGATGGCACGTCATGGCTTAATTCATCAGCATATTGATGATATCTCACCCCATGGTAACGGATGAGCTCACCCAGGGGCCTCACCTAGATGTTCGACAGGAGAAGGGAGAGTACCAAACTTTACAGCATCTTCCTGGGGAGGGTGTGTCTGCCCTTCCCCAGCCACCACTGCCTGGAATCAGCCCCAGAAAAAAGGGAGAAAACCAACACAGAACCAGGCTGCCACTCCTGATCCTCTTGAGATGATCAGGAAGGAAACCACGGTTGAGAGTGTGGATAGCATTTTGTTGCCATGGTTTTGTTGTTTTGCAAATGCAAATGGCCATGTGTCATTGGAAGGTGGCGGTATGCAAAATATTAACCCATAAATAAATAGGAAAAAACCCTCTTTTTGTTCTTCCCGATACAGGCAGTCCTTGACTTACATTTCGTTTAGCGGCCGTTCCAAGTTACAACGGCACTGAAAGAAGTGAACCTATGTCCGTTTCTTTCACACTCACGATCACATGATCGAAATTCAGGTGCTTGGCAATTGGCTCATATTTATGACGGTTGCAGTGTCCGGGGAAGTCATGTGATTCCCTTTTGCGCCCTTCTCACCAGGGTAGCCAGATTCACTTAACAACCGTGCTACTAACTTTAACAACTGCAGCAATTCCCTTAACAACTGCAGCAAGAAACAAGTCTTTCAGCAAGCGTCTCACCTAGCAACAGCATTGCGGTCCTAAGTCGAGGACTACCTGCGTTCGTTAGCAACAGAGGCAGGGAGGAAACGGAAGGAACCAAGGGAGAGGGGGAAAAAAAATCTGCTTTTGAAAGAACTCTTGAGCCAAAGAGAATTCAGCCACGTTGCTGTAAAATGAACAGACACTTCAACGCTGCATAAAGGCCGCTGGGGGTGGGAGGAAGGGAGCTCTTGAGTGGTTGCCATCACAAACCTTGTTTTGCTCTGCATTCCACCTTCCGCATCAGAAAATTCTGAGTCACTGCTGCTGATTCTCTTCCAGCTAAAAGCGTGGGAAGATAAACGCTCTTTCGCAAGCGATGGATATTTATCACTGAATGCCCAATTTGTCATCTTAGAGCCCTGATCTTGCGACAACTCATCCTTTAATGAGGGTTTCTCCACTCGGCTTCCTTCGGCACCCCCTGGCTGCTCTTTTACTCCTTCTTCTTCCAGCTTCCCTTTCTTGGGTTTCCCTTTAGGTTTCTTCCTCCTGTTCTGTTAGCGGTGGTTGTGGGGAGTAGAAAAGATACAAGCACAAGTTTTGTTTTCAATTCAATGAATTAGGCCTAGTTCTCTTTATTCAATCCAATCATCTAATGTTTTTTTTCTACATATTAATACCCTGTTTCTCTGAAAATATGACCTACCCTGAAAGTAAGTCCTAACTCAAAAATATATAAGACAGGGTCTTATTTTCAGCGAAACACAAGATAGAATAGCCTGTGTAGGATTCTTCTCTCAGCATCAAGAAATCTATCTCAACTGGCATGAAAGATTTATCAAAAAGTCTATTAAGAGTTGAAATTCTAAAAAGGACAAGAGAGGATGGTTCGAAATAGAATACTTCTTATTTTATTCTTATTTTATTAAAGAGTTAGAAAAAAGAGATAGAAGTTAGAAATTGGAAAAATAATATTATTTTCTATACTGATATAGAATAGAATACATTATTACTGTGTATATACAAATGTTAGAAATTGAAAGATTATGATTATACATATTAAATAACACTATTATTATCACTGTATTTAAAATATATTGACCCAGACAATACTTTGTTCATCAAGCACTTATGGATGCTAAAGATAAATAAAACTATAATGTCCTCTCTTTGATCTGGGGAGAAAAAGAAAAAGAAATTGATCTCAACTTAAGAAGCCTCGTACGACTTATTCCCTTTGCTTAAGGCACCATCCGGCTAACAGTGCCTCCAGCTCAAGATTTAAATCAAAGTAAACCAAATATTTCATGTTTCACAACAGCTGCTTTGGAAGTTCATCCTGTCCCGTTTTCAGACCCTCCGGTTAAGCAAAAGCTTCCAGTTCAAATCCCTGGCATCTCCTTCTAGCAATGGAAAAATCTCTGTTTGAAAATATGAAAAGAAGCTGTCCGCTAGAACAGAATTTCCTTTCCTATTCTGCCGCCCTCCAGGTGTGCTAAACCTCTCATCCCCAATGAAAGCTGCCATTCATGGAGATTATGGGATTTAGAAGCCCCAGAAGCAGTAATTAATGAAGGCAGATATACGCTCATAAATAGTGGCTTTGCTCTACAGATGGGGTGTCAAACTAATTTCACTGAGGACCGCATCACGGTTGTGTTGGGCCTTGGGGGGGGCGGGATGGGTGTGGTCAAGGTGGGTGTGGCCAGCTCAACATCACTCGTGTTGCAGGTGCCTGTGGTGGCCCGAGCCCTGTCAACGAACACGGGCTCGCAAGCTCCATTTTTGGCTGTGACAGCCTCCTGCAACCCTCTGTCAGCAGCCCCCCCGAGCTCCATTTTCACTGGCAGAGGCACCGCGGGCCAGTCCTTCACCATTTCCAGAGCATCCCTGCAGGCCAGATCTAAGCACCCCGTGGGCCGGATCTGTCCCCCGGACCATGAGTTTGACACCCCTGCTCTACAGCAGTGTATCTTGATCTTAGCAGTGCTGGCTGGGGAATTTTGGGAGTTGAAGTCCACACAGCTTAAAGTGACCAAGAAATACTGCTCGACTCTACAGGATTCCATTCGCTGCTGTAAGGTGCTTTTACCAAAATATTACATTTTTTTTCCAAACAGAAAAAAACAGCCCTCAGCTTGTGACCAGATGACATTTGAAGCGGTTTAGGTTTAACACACAATGCACACAAATGCACAGTTAAAAAGCTTACCCCTTTCAGTTTAACACTGTTCTGTTCCAACTTCTCTTGCTCGATGGGTGACCGGCTGTCGTATTGAGGAAGGAGTGCTGGATATAAGATGGTGGGCATTTCTATGTTGATTCCAGGGAGTCCATGAAACATGCATTTCTGAAATCGTCAAAGAAAATCCTAGACATCAATACTGTTTAGTGGCAGCATCTACCACAGAAACATTAAATCTGCTTTTTTTTTTTTTGCAAAGAATTTATGACCAAAACTGAGCCCAAAATTTCTTTTGCTAAGTCTGGCAGTTGTTTTAAGTCAGTTTTGCCCCATTTTACGACCTTTCTCGCCACAGTTGTTAAGCGAATCACTGCAATTATTCAGTTAGTGAGGGGGTTCCAACCTTTTCTATACCCCACACCCCTAGAGCGCTTCCAATATATTCTCACACCCATTAAAAAATAATTATATGCATCTAATTATACATATACACTATAATTTTGAAACTTCTAAGCCCAAGTTTTTGCACTGCCTGGAATATCATCTCGCACCCCCGATTGGGAACCCCTGAGTTAATAGCACAGTTGTTAAGTGAATCTGGCTTCCCCATTGACTTTGCTTGTCAGAAGGTCGCAAAAGGGGATCATGTGACTGCGGGACATTACAACTGTCATAAATATGAGTCAGCTGTCCAGCATCCAAATATAAATCATGTGAGCAGGGGATGTTGCAATGGTCATAAGTGTGAAAAATGGTCAGAAGTCACTATTTTAGGTGCTATTGTAACTTCGAATGGTCACTAAATGGACATGTTGTAATTTGTACGTGTTGCACTCTCCTTTCTTGAAACAAGGAAAAAAACAACCCATCTATTCTTTTAAACATGGTTGGATGTCATACTTTTATAGGGTAAAATTCAGGGGTGGGATTCAAATTTCTCAACCACTAGTTCTGTGGGTGTGGCCTAATTTGTGGGTGTGGCTTCGTGGTCATGTGTCTGGGCATGGCTTGGTGGTCATATGACTGGGTGGGCATGGCTTGTATGTAAACACTACAAATGTTTATATAAATATTGAATTTTTTTATAAAAAAGGAGCAACTTTTACCCAAAATCAGGCAAAGCAGGCAGGCAGATTGAGTTGCTCACAGAATCACAGATTCACTTAGAGATCTATGATTCTGCAATCTGCTACCTGAGTCTACACTAAAAAAATAGAAGCTTCAGTCCTAAGGAAGGTTCAGCTCTGCTTTTAGATTAGCTAGAAAGCAAAAAATCCAACAATTTCCTGCTTTCTACCTAATCTAAATCTCCCGGCACAGCAGAACAGCTGATGGTTGGGCAAAAAAAAGGAAAAATAGCAACTTACCAAACCCAGGCAAGTTTGATGGCACGCATGCCAGGTAAGGACTGAGTGGGTGGGGAGGGGAGGGGCCAACCAGTGACACGATTTGCTAGTTCTCCGAACTGGGCAAAATCATAACAACCGGTTTATAGAACTAGACAGATAGAATCCCACCTCTGGTACAATTTAATACCCTGGATGATAAAAGTCTAATGCAAAGCTTGTTCAAAAACTGATCAGAATCCTTTGGATATCTTGGGAATCCAAATCCTTACTAGCTGGTAGTTTGTTCAGCACAGCAATGGTTTCATTTGCACTTCTACAAAGCACAGGGAACCGCTTCTGTGCACACGGTACTGAACTGCCACATCGCAACAAACCATGGTTTGCTGAATAAAGCATAATGACTTGGGCCACATCCTGTAGCTGAGCTAAAAATCATGTTGTACAAAGATTTATTGGACTTGCATTTGTGATGCAAAGCTCAAGCCACAAATCACCTTCTGGCTTAGGGTGGCATGTGAAACCAGCTGCAAACTATCTTTGGACATCGTAATGCACAATGGATTATTGTGACATATGTCAGTCTAGCCTCCCCCATTATACATATACAGTGCAGAGACAAACACCACTCCCATAGGGCTTTTAAGATTAGACACTTCCATTACTATTTTGGAGTTAGCCCTATTCTGTGTGTCACCCGCACTCAAAACTGTGAATAAGGTGATTACACTACAGAAGTACCATAATCCATGATCTGGCTGATCTACTTCAAACAAACATAGATGCTAATACTCTCATTTTGAGTTTCAGCAACAACAAAAATTGGGATGTACCTAATACAGCAATAAGATAGTCCTTAACTTTATTTTAACAACTGCTCAACCACACTGAATAAACCACACATTTTAGTTCAGTGTAAGACCAGATCTCACACTTACAGCCATCACAGCATCCCCATGGTCACCTGAACACTTGGCAACTGACTTTACAGGTGGTCCTCGACTTACAACAGTTCATTTAGTGACCGTTTGAAGTTACATCATTGAAAAAAATGATTTATGACCATTGTTCACACTTACGACCATTGCTGAATCCCCATGGTCACATGATTTATATTTGGATGCTTGGCAACAGGTTTATATTTATGACGGTTCCCATGTCCCTGGGTCAAGTGATCACCTTTTGCGACCTTCTGACAAGCAAAGTCAATGGGGAAGCCAGGGATTCCCTTAACGAATGTAGCAAGAAAAATCGTAAAATGGGGCAAAACTCACTTAACAAATTTCTCACTTAGCAATATAAATTCTGGACTCAATCGTGATCGTAAGTCGAGGACTACCTGTGTTTATAATGGTTGAAGCATCCTGGGATCATGTGAAGACCATTTGAGGTCTTCCCAGCCTGCTTTCCACAAGCAGTCAACGGGGAAAGCTTAACGTCCACGTGATTCACTTAACAGCTGTGGCAATAAAGCTCATGAAATTGGGTTCAACTCATTTATCAACCACCTTGACTAGCAATGCAAATTCAGGTCCCAATTCAAAAAAATTTACTACCATTCTATGGGCATGGCTTGGTGGGTGTGGCAGGGGAAGGTTACTGTAAAATCCCCATTCCCTCCCCATTCCTGGGGGAAGGTGAAATATCTCCATTCCCTCCCCAACCCACTAACCTGCTTTCCAGCTCCGTTCTCCTGTGCAGGGCAACAAAAGAAGACCCAGCCGATCCACTAGGACTCAGGAGGCGGAGAATAGATGGGGGCGGGGCCAGTCAGCAGTAGTATTTGCTGGTTCTCCAAACTACTCAAAATTTCCACTACCAATTCAGAACCTGCTGAATACTACCGCTGGTCCCAATTGTGATTGTAAATCAAAGACTACCTGTAGTAAATCTTGACCGCTTCTTCAGACATGCCAAGAGGAAAACAAAGCTGCTTGGCTCGCTCGCTATCAAATCAGTTATGGGTACCGTGGCTTGTGCAATTCTAATTTTAGAAACCAGAGGCATTTCAAAAGCATTCTACACATTTGAGCACAAAGGGCCCATTAAAAAAATAAATAAATTCAGGGTTGTTTGGGGGCACTCAGGGAATCTCTGTAAGACAGGGAAGATTTAAACTTTAAATCTCTTCTCACCTTTAACACAGCAAGGAGGGAACCGAGGTGTTCAGTCTGGGTCAGCCTCATCTTTCCTCCGTTTAAGAGCGACTGCACTCCTTTCAAAGCATTTTGTAACAGCTGGAAGGAAAACAAAAAAACAATCAGCCTTCTTCCAAACATCCAGGAATAGCACAACTCTTATCATCTAGAGCAGTGGTCACCATTCTGGTGGTCCATGAGAAAACGTTGGTGGTCCGCAGAAAAATTATTTGCATTTTTTTTGTATTGCACTAAATCGGGGGTCCTTGGGCCGGATACATGCAATGAACTTTTGTGTTGCTGCAGAGAGTCTCCCACTTTGGGGTCTTTTTGTGTGGGTCGGAGCGGGGCAATAATTCTGATTTGGGGTCTGCTTCAGTGTCCTGGTGCGGGGCTTTGGGCAAAGGCTGGAGGGAAGTGCCACTGGTGGAGAAGAGCCGGAGGGCTTCATTCCAGTGGGACTGCATCATGGCCTGGAACTGGCTGACCATCTCAGCCCACTGAGCCTCCAGGTGCCAGGATCAGGCCTTGCACTCGCGCAGGTATTCCCTCTGCTTGGAAAGCCTATGCTGCTTCTAGTCCGCAGTGAGGTGTTTCTGCCGAGCCTCCTTCTCGGTCAGATCCAATTTGAACTGAGCCAGCTGTTTTGACAACTCTTTTCTTGTGGAGGCTGCTTAGCTCCAACAAATACTTCCAGTTAGGGCCCTAAGTAGCCCGGAGGGGCAGGCAAGGAATGGCTGGGAGGGGGAGGGGGAGGGGCGAGTAGAGGCTGGCAAGGCACCCCTCAATGTGAGTTGGCCACGCCCACCTAGTCACATGACCACCTAGCCACGCCCATCCAGCCAGTCATTAGGCAGACCATATTTGTACTCCACGAGATTTAAAATTATGAAGTCTGAAAGGTTGGTGACCCCTGATCTAGAGTGAAATTTTATCTAGGAGATAAAAGTCCAAGGGCAAAAGTTTCCCTCAAGTGACTAGTTTGAGAAGTTGCTATAATAATATCACACCCAACTCTCATCGCAAGCTCAACCTGTGGTTTAGATTAAGCAAGCATTGGGTTTATTTAAGTTCACTGAGTGAAATCAATTTCTAAATGATACCACCAGCAACTAATTAGCAACCTCAGACAGTTCCCCAGTGTAAGTTTCATAATCTGGGATATGATTTCCATTATATGATGTCCCAATTTACCTTTCTTGAATCTTAGCTGCAGGTTCACAAGAAGAAAATCCTGAAATGCTTCACTTGAAGCATGCTTGTAGGAAAAGCACTGTCTTGACTAAACAACAGCTTAAGTTCTACTGATAAAGGAGAATATTTGTTGCTCAGGGTTGAACTGTGGGGTCCTAGGTGCTCTATTGAGCTTGGTTGTTTCCTTGAAGATGTTCCATTACGTTGGATGTCTGCAAGAAAATAACCAAGCTCAGAGAGCACCAAGGACCTCACAGTTTAAATCCTATCTGAGAAGATTGCCCGAGGGCATCAGGATTGGTAATTAACCCACTTCCAAAGAGTAATCAAGGAAGGCACACAATACATAGCTGTGCTCGATTGTCCCATTCCGATTGTCCCATTCCATCCTTCAGTTGTAGTTGTCTCCACACCAATTTTCTCAACCTCAGCTACTTTTAAGATGTGTGGACTTCAACTCCCAGAATTCCCAAACCAGCATTCTGGAGAGTCCACCTTAAAGTTGCTGAGATTAAGAAACAACGCTCTACAACAGGGCTGTCAAACTCCTGGCCCGTGGGCCAGATGCCTCATGAGCTGGCCACGCACACACCCAGTTTAATAAAGAGGGGGAAAGTCCTGATACGTCACATGCCGCCCACCATGATGACGTGAGTTTGACACCTCTGCTCTACAATCTCCTGAATGTAATAAGCTTTCGTGTCATGTTGGGGGGGGGTGTTTTTAGCAGGTCTGTTCCTCATGGGTCAAGGCTGTGCATTTCTTCTGGGAACGAAGCCTCCATCCTATGGAAATTACTAACAGAGATGGAGATTTGGCATTGTACGTTGACAATATACTGGAGAGTCAGCTTTACTTTTCCTTTCCAACAGTGACAGGAAAAAAAATGGGGAAATTGCAGATAGAAGCCAGGCAGTGGTGGGATTCAATTTTTTTTACTATTGGTTCTATGGGCGTGGCTTGGTGGGTGTGGTGTGGTATGGTGGGTGTGGCTTGATAGTTGTGGCAGGGGAAGGATACTGTAAAATCTCCATTCCCTCCCCATTCCTGGGGGAAGAATACTGCAAAATACCATTCCCGCCCCACTCCGCTAACCTGCTTTCCAGCTCCGTTTTCCTGTGCAAGGCAACAAAAGAAGACCCAGCCAATCAGCTAGGACTCAGGAGGCAGAGAATGGATGGGGGTGGGACCACTCAGAGGTGGTGTTTGCCAGTTCTCCGAACTACTCAAAATTTTCACTACCGGTTCTCCAGAACCTGTCAGAATCTGCTAAATACCACCTCTGAAGCCATGGTGAAAAACAAGGAAAGAAAAATAACAATCCCCAGAAGGATTGTTTGATCGTAGCCAGTTGAAGGTAAGCGTTGGTGGGAATGTATTCTTCCTGAAAAATTGGATCTGCAGCTGGGAAGTGCTTTTAAATCAGGCTATGCGTCTTGACTCTCAAATTGCATATTGGAATGAGATAGGTGAGGGGATGGAAATTTAAAAAAGGATTGAAACAGTTCAGCCCATCCCTTGAACTGCATTCTGCAGTTCCCTGAAAGTACGGAGGCTGGGCTGTCATTCCCCAATCTCTCCCTTACTGCCCACCTCTATTCTAAAGAATCTCCTTTGCCCTTACCATGCAAAAGGTGATGTCATCTACTTCAGTTCCTTTGGAAGACTGCAAGATGCTCAGGAAAGCCTGAAAGCAGATCTCTCTGTAAGATTCCTCCAGGTAGGGCTGTCCAGGGAGGCTAAAAGACAGGCAGGTACAAAGGAGAATGACGAACTGCAGAAAAGAAGTAACACTTTTATCTGTCTGTTTAGAAAATGCAGTAGAATGCAGAAGCAACCACTTCATATCAGGAAGCTCCTAGTATCTGAAACCTCGTGGAAGGGGGCAAATAGCTTTATCCAATGAAATAAGGAAAGGATTTATTAAGAAAAGCACTATGCTATCTCACTATGCTATTATTCTTCCAAGTATTAGACAACGTAGAAACATAGAAAAGTGATGGCAGAAAAGGCCTAGTGGTCCATTGAATCTGATCTTCGAGGGTTTTTTAGTTTTGGGGTTTATCCAAAGCATGTTTAAGCTAAAAAATATCCCCACGTATGTGCCCTGACCTGTTTTTTCTGCAGCAAACTTAATTCTGTACTGTCTGTATTTGCAATTCTGCTATAAGAATGTTAAATACTAGAAGTTTCTGGGGGCAATTTCAGTTGAAATTACAGACTTTTCTTTACATCTCTATTTAGATTCTTCCATGTAATACATAATATTATAGCCTAACAGTGACTGGGTTGAAATATTGTGATTAGTCACTTCTTGCTGAATACCACAGAGGGACTGTTCCCACAAATTAATAAGCCACAATCCTTAATACCCAAACCACAACTCTAGGTTCATCTTTTGCACTAAGCTATAACCAAATAAACTACATTCTGGTTTAGTACCATGCGCTCAGTACCAGGTGGTTTCTATTTAGAAAGTACTCTTCAATATCACCTCCATTATTTCCACTGATGTGTTTAAACAATTAAATAAATCAATTGAAATTAATCTATTAAAATTGTATTTCTGTAGTGACGAACATTTGAACTAGAATGTTAACAATAGCTGTTTGGAAGTCTATTATTACACTTAAAGAAAACACACTTCTACAAAAATGTGCTGTAAGCTGGAATGTATGGGCATCTTCATCCGTGGGCCTTGAATTTAGACATTTTTTTTCTGGACCCCCACCCCCCCAAATGCTGCAATGATTGAACCCTCTATCCCTAGGAGAGGCACACAACATAATGGAAAGAAGTCAAGCCCGACCTACCGTGTTTCTCCAACAATACGGCCTCCCCCAATAGGAAGTCCCAGCATCTTTTATAGGAATAAAATCAAATTAAGCCCCTCCCCCCAAATTAAGGCCGATATTAAACATGGGAAATGGGGGGGAATGGCAGGGGGGTGGGCTTGCCGTGAGGAAGTACTTTTGTTGCATACCCAGATATGGTGCTGCCTGCGTTGACTTTGGCGTTGGTGGGGCACTTCGTATCGGGAGACCTTCCGCCACCGTTGCTTTCCCTTCTCCCCGTGCTGCTGAGTTGTTTAGAGCAATGCCACGGCGTTTGGCACAGCCATGTGCGGCCAGCCGGGGCTCCTCCCTGCAACTGGAGCCCGGCGGAGACACTCGGCTTCAAACGCTCCTGTCGCCGCCTTCCCTTCGCCTTCGAAGGCAAAGCCAATTCATTTAAAAACGATCCCCTACTACCAGTCCGACAAAGCCTCCTCTGCCCGAGAGGGCAGCCCAAGTCCACATGGGGAGGCGAATCTCCCAAGGCCGCAGTGCAGGATTGGCCCACCCCGGGAGAAGCGCCCAGCCACCATCCCTACCTGGCACCGGCAAAGCGCAAAGAGCTTTGCCTGGGGCGCCCAGCGTAGCTGACAGGCGGGCCCTCCTTCCTGGCGGTGGAGCTCTCGCCAAGGCAGCGAGCACCTCCCTGGGAGGTGAGGCGACAGCAGCGCTCCCTGGGAGATGAGGCGACAGCAACGCTGCTTCCCTGGCCGGCGGGTCCAGCGGAGAGAGCCCGAAGCCGCCCATCCTTTCCACCGCTCGCCCAGCCTGTCCCCGTCCCCACGCATCTCCAAATGCGCTGGCAGCTCCAAATGTGCAGCGGCACGAGCATCGGGCAGAGGCGCTCACTTGGCGGGGCTCAGCTCGGAGGAGGACGCGGCGCAGGCCGTTGCCTTGCCTCCCTGTCCATGGATGGGTGGGCGCTATCACAGCCTCGGGAGGACTCTCCCGGTAGCCCCTTTGGGTTCGGGCTGGAGGGACTTGGGAAGGAAGCCAAGCTCGGGGTGGCCTGGCTCGTTCGTTTGGCAGGTGGGTGCGCACCCACAGCTCGCTTTCCCGGCTCTGCCCAGCCCGCACGGCTCTGGCGGGATGAGTTGAGGGCCCGCCTGTCAGCTGTGCTGGGCACCCCAGGCGAAGCTCTTCAGGCTCTGCCCAGCGCCGGGCAGGGAGGGCGGCAGGGCGCTTCTCCCAGGGTGAGCCGATCCTGCGCTGTGGCCCTGGGAGATTTGCCTCCCCACGTGGGGTTAGGCTGCCCTCTCGGGCAGAGGAGGCTTTGTCGTACCGGTAGTAGGACGTTGTTTTTAAAAGAACTGGCTTTGCCTTCGAAGGCAAAGGGGAGGCGGTGACAGGAGCGCCTGAAGCCAAGTGTCTCCACCGGGCTCCAGTTGCAGGGAGGAGCCCTGGCTGGCCACGCGTGGCTGCGCCAAATGCCGTGGCCTTGCTCTAAACGCCGCAGCAGCACAGAGAGAAGGGAAAGAAACGGTGGCGAAAGGTCTCCCAATACGAAGCGCCCTACCAATGCCGAGGTCAACATCCAAGCTGTCGCTGCCTGCCTGAGGATGCAAGGGGGGGGCAATTAAGTCACCCCCGAAAAGACAGCCTAGCCATTTTTTCGGGGGTCAACAAAAAATAAGGCCCGGCCTTATTTTGTGAGAAACACGGTATTTGTTTCAGTCATACCTGAGACACAGGTTTGCCATGCTGTGTATCGCAGCCCTTTTCTTCTCAAGGTCGGTTTCAGCCGGGCTGCTGAACTGTATCAGAAGTCCATTTTCCCCCAGCAAATCTGGGAGATACTTAAAAAAACACCAGTCAGCACATATTTGTTGAAGAAAGAAAAGGACAAAACAAACCTTAGAATTAACTAAGTTATATGACAAAAGCATGCTTAGTGCACAAATTCTATAAGCTCAGCCATCTATGTCTTTTTATGGTTTTCAACCTGGGTGAAGCTCAGGCTACAATTAACAAAAAGAGGTAAAAGTTGAAAATTTCATTCAGGACATCTGTTTTTCCCATCATCAGATAGCAGGAATTATTCTGGGTTAGCATGGGATATGAAATTATTTTATTTAGCTACCAAACAGCCTATACTAACCTGTACTGCATTAAACTAGAAATTATTGCTTATATTACATGAGTTGGACCAATATATCTGAAAGATAGTTAAGTTAAAAAAAATATTCTTACTACAGGAAATTTCAAAGAACCCAACATGTTTTTTTAAAAAATTTTATCTTGTCTATATTGTGAAAGCGGTATAAAAATATCAAAACAAAACCGAGGATGTAGAAACATTACTCAAGAACTCCAAATTACTTTGTGTCAGGATAACATATAACATTTCCACTGTCTTCTAATCTTCAAAAAATATACAGGTAGTCCTTGACTTACAACCACAACTGAGCCCCAAATTTCTGTTGTTACGTGAAACATTTAAGTGAGCTTTGCCCCACCTTACGACCATTCTTATCACAGATGTTAAGTGAATCACTACAGTTGATAAGTTAGTAGGCACAGCTGTTAAGTGAATTTGCCTTCCCCATTAACTATGCTGGTCAGAAAGTGATAACATGACCTTGGGACACAGCAGGGGTCAAGCATCTGAATTTTAATCAAATGATCATGAGGCTGCTACAAAGGTTGTAACTATGAAAAATGGCCATAAGTCATTTTTTTCAGTGTCACTGTAACTTTGAACAGTCATTAAATGGATTGTTGTAGGTCAAGGACTACCTGTGCCAGAACCTAAAAAGTTTGATTAGCCCTTCTGCTTGGAGCTACTGGAAAAATCCATAGGTATCCCAAGGGATGAACTGAATTATTAACCTATCTGTTTATGGTTCTACTATTCAGTTAGCAATTCTCAGCAACAGGTATTGAAATTTCCTTCTGACTTCTAACTCCTCTGACCATAATTCCTCTGCACTAGGCAAAGAGAAAATGTTTCTAAGAAAAATATTCAAAATTATATTCCAATCCACCTTTTGGCACTTGTGCCCATTGTTGTAGACAGAGGCTGCCAAGGCTTGCAGAATTTCAACATGTGTCCAAGTGCTGCATTTTCTCAGAGCAGAGATGAAATAAGGCAGAAGATAATTCAGGCTCTCTTCATCCAGTGCAACCTGCAATCGCAAAAAGAAAAATGAAATTAGCATAATCTTGAATTGGTGAATTCAGGATAATATCTTATTCAGCAAGCAGTAAATCAGTTTCATTAACCGTTGCTTCTATCCTTCAAAAATGACATCCAGAAGAATGTAACAGCTAGAAAATCCATTAGCTGTCTCATCTGTATACTGAGAAGAGAAAAAAGTGTGCTACAATTATAGTAACTATATCATTTTTCTAACAGCAGCATAATGACTCTTTGTTTATAATGTACATAAGAAGACTAAATATACTATCAAGTCAATGAAAACAATTATGAAAATTTGAAACAGTAGCTGACTTATATTAGGTGCTCCACCAGAATATGGTAAAAAATATAGTTTTCTCACCTGGAATCTGTTGAGCAGCTGGTGAATTAATTGGGCCACTTTATTGACAAGATGTTCTTGATTAAGCTGGACTAGTTTACAAGCTTGGACAATTAATTCACAAATGTCCTGCCACATAAAAGATGACAAAAAGGGGGTGTATTAGTTACTTTTAATTCCCTGAAAGACACAGAGAAGTGAGATGAAATTGAATGTCAATACAGGTAGTCCTTAATTTACAGCAGTTCATTTAGCGTTCATTTGTTTGAAATTATACCTACACTGAAAAAGTTTTTCCCCACATATATGACTATTGCAACATCCCCAGTTGTGATCAAAATTTGGATGGTTGGCAACTGATTCATATATATAACGGTTGCAGGGTCTTGAGGTCATGTGATCCCCTTTTGCAATCTTCTGACAAGCAAAGTCAATGGGGAAGTCAGATTCACTTAACAAACGTATTGCTAATTTAACAATTGCAGTGATTCACTTAACGGTGGCAAGAAAGGTTGTAAAATGGGGCAAAACTCACTTAACGACTGCCTTGCATTGCAACAGAAATTTGGGGCTCAATTATGGTCATATGTCGAGGAATACCTGTATCTTTCAACCCCACCTATCTTATAGATTTCTTGTTGTGAGGTTAAAATTGAATTTTTTAAAAAATAGATAGTCCTCCACTTACAATAGCTCATTTAGTGACCATTCAAAGTTACAACAGCACTGAAAAAAAGAGACTGATGACCGTTTTTCAGTTACGACCTTTGCAGCATCCCTGTGGTCATGTGATTGAAATTTAGATGCTTGGCAACTGATTCACACTTATGACCGTTGCAGTGTCCCAAGGTCATGTGACTTTCTGACAAGCAGAATCAATGGAGAAACCCAGATTCACTTAACAATGGGGTTACTAACCTATCAATTGCAGTGATTCACATCAACAGCTGTGGCAAGAAAGGTCGTAAAATGGGGCAAACCTCACATCACAAATGTTTCGCTTAACAACAGAAATGATGGGCTCAATTGTGGTTGTAAGTCGAGGATTACTTATGTAGAATGATGGAATGGGAAAAGGCGAGACAATGTGGCCCTTCCTGTGGATGATCCTGGGGACCCACCCTTGTCTCGAGTCTTTTTCCTCAACCCCATCGGGCTCCCCCGCCGCTCCTCGGCCTTCTTCAGGTACTCACCTCCGGCTTCGGCCCCCAGGGCGCCGCTCCCCACGGGCCGCAGGTCTCGGACATGAGCTCGTCGAAGAGCAGGTGGAGCTCGGGGCGGCGGCTGCCGACGTTCTCCCCTCCCGGGGCCTGGCTGGGATCGGGGACGAGCCGCAGAGCCTTGAGTCGCGCCAGGTAGCGTTGCAAGCAGAGCCCGGATTCGGCCCAGGCCGGGTTCGGTTCTGCTGCTGCTGTTGCCGCCGCTGAGTCTCCTCCAGCCATGCAGGCCTCCGCCGCCATTTTTCCAGCTCGGCCTTCAGTTGCTAGGGCAACTAGGCCGAGGAGGGACGCCCAGGCCTAGTTTCCGGATGAAAGCCACGATGGACTGTATAGGAGGCCGCAGCAGATGGAACTCTATGGTTAGAGCAACTTCCGGGTCCTTTTGTGGAGCGCCCCCTGGAAGGGGGATGATCTGGTGATCTGTGGGATACCAAACAACATGATGCCATTACAGGCGATCCTGAACTTATGACCACAGTTGAGCTCAACTTTTCTGTTGCTATGCAAGACAGTTGTAAATTGAATCACTGCAGTTGTTAAGTTAGTAACACGGTTGTTAAGTGAATCTAGCTTCCCCATTGACTTTGCTTGTCAGAAGGTCACAAAAGGGGATCACATGACCCGAGGACATGGCAATTGTCATAAATATGAGTCAGTTGCCAAGCGCTGGAATATTATGTGACAATGGGGGAATGCTTCAAAGGTCATAACTGTGAAAATTGGTTATTAATTAATTGTATTAAGGTGTTTTCTGTCACTCCTTGGTGAAGCAGAAAACAATATCCTAATCAAGTAACTACAAGGAGAAAACTACATCCTCAGCAACACTGGCAGGGCAAGCTACTACCATATATATATACATATATATATGCATCTGCAAGCACACAACTACACGTAGAGAGCACCAAGGACACCACAGTTCAACCCTGAACTATAAATGTTTTCTTTTGTTGGTGCAGTAATGTTCCTTTACTTCCTAACCAGGAGTGAGTTGAAACAACAAATGTATCCTTGATGGTAGCACTAACAATAATTGTGGGGAGTTAGTAACAATGACTTATTGCTTACCTTTGTGCAACCAGAAAATGCTGCTTCTTTTATTTTTAATGTATTTATTTGACCCTGTTATATTTTAGTGTTGTTTTATGAATGATTCTTTTTCACCTTGTGTCAATGTGGAGGGAGCAGCTACATAAATTGACTAGATGAATGAATAAAAACCCCTTTCCTCCAATTCCTGATTTTAACCATTTAGGGGTTACAAGTAGTCCTCAACTTACAACAGTTCATTTAGTGACCGTTCAAAGTTACAGAGGCACTGAAAATATGACTTAAGACTGTTTTTTACATTTATGACCGTTGCAGAATCTCCATGGAGACGTGATCAAAATTCAAATGCTTGGCAACTGATTCATATTTATAACGGTTGCAGGGTCTTGGGGTAATGTGATCTCCTTCTGCAAACTTCTAACAAGCAAAGTCAATGGGGAAGTCAGATTCACCTTACAGTTGTGTTACTAACTTAACAACTGTTGTGATTCAAATAACAACTGTGGCAAGAAAGGTTATAAAATGAAGCAAAACTCACTTAACTGTTTCACGTCCCATGATCTTGATGCTATCCCTCTGTTGATGTGTCCTGGGACTGTACTAGCTTTTTTAGCAGCTGCAGCCTACTGCTGGCTCATATTTAAGCAATGGTCCACCAGGACATATAGTTACCTCTCACAGGCACAACTGTTGAACTAGGCACTGCCTATCCTGTATCTGTATTTCTGGTATTTCCTACCTAAACTCAGGAGCTTACTTACAGAATTAAGGAGAAACTTCCTAACAGTGAGAACAATTAACCGGTGGAATGACTGGCCTCAGAGATGATATTCAGCCAGTTCTGACAGGTTCTGGAGAACCGGTAGTAGAAATTTTGAGTAGTTTGGAGAACCGGCAAATCCCACCCCTGACTGCCTCCGCTCCCATCTCTTCTTTGCCTCCCATTGAGTCCCAGCTGATCGGTCTTCTTTGGTTGCCCTGCACAGGAGAACGGAGCTGGAAAGTAGGTTAGTGGGGTAGGGAGGGAATGGGGATTTTACAGTATCCTTCCCCTGCCACATCCACCAAGCCACACCACGCCCACCAAGCCACGTCCATAGAACCAGTAGTTTAAAAAAATGGAATACAACTACTGACTTGTCTCCAGAAGTTATAGATGCTCCAACGCTGGAGGCTTTTAAGAAGAGATTAGACAAACCTTTGTCTGAAATGGTACAGGATCTCATGCTTGAGCTTGAACTAAAAGATCTTCCAACTCTGTTCTGACAATAGTGCATATTTTGATAGCAGTCTAGCTTTCCATAAGGACTCCATATAAGATGTGACTTTAGAAAATGCCAAAGTTATGTCTAGCAGCACAAACCAAGATGGCTGTAGAGGACAGTGGCTGGTAAGTAATAGAGTAGGTTATACCTACAGTAGATGAAAGAGACAGGATCTGGGCCACTCCTGACTGTTCCACAGTTGCCATTGACATGCCACAAATCACACAAAGGTTGGGTCTGAAGAAGATGGAAGGACTTCTGAAGAAGATGGTTAGGTCCATAAATGTCAGATCAGCAAATTTCAGCAAACTCTGCTATTGGTTGGAGTTATGATGAAGGGATGTCATGAAAGACAAGTCAATCAATCAATCAGAATACAACTGGAAAGGACCCTGGAGGTCTTCTCATCCAGACCCCTGCTCAAGAAGGAGACCCTATACCATTCTTTTTTTTAGAATAGAATAGAATTTTTATTGGCCAAGTGTGATTAAACAAACAAGGAATTTGTCTTGGTACAAATGTTCTCAGTATACATAAAAGAAAACTTTCGTCAAGAGTCAAGAATCATCAGGTACAACACTTAATGATAATCATAGGGTACAATAAGCAATCAAGTCATACTAGGAAACAATCAATGCAGATCATTAGGATGCAGGCGACAAAGTTACAGTCATACAGTCATAAGTGGAAAGGGATTGGTGAGAAGGAGTGATGAGAAGGTTAACAGTAATAGTGGAGATTTTGTAAATGGTTGGACAGTGTTGAGGGAATTATTTGTTTAGCAGAGTGATGGCTGTCCTTGTGTCTAGTTCTGATGTGCAGTGCTCTATAGCGTCGTTTGAGGGAAGGAGTTGAAACAGTTTATGTCCAGGATGTGAGGGGTGTGTAAATATTTTCACAGCCCTCTTTTTGACTCCTGCAGTATACAGGTCCTCGATTAAAGGCAGGTTGGAGTAATCATTTTTTTCTGCCGTCCTATTTATCCTCGAAAGTTTGTGTCTGTCCTGTTAGGTTGCAGAACCAAACTAGACAGTTATAGAGGTGCAGATGATAGACTCAATAATTCCTTTGTAGAATTACAGTTATTACAGAATTACAATAATTCCTCAGTAGAAGAGTACTTAGGGCGGGGCTGTCAAACTCGCGGCCCGCAGATCATATGTGTCATGCGCTGGCCACGCCCATGCCAGGTTTAGTGAAGGGGGGAAAGATCATGATACGTCATGTGACAACGGTGTGACGACACATGTTTGACACGTTTTGGTTTAGGATGGTTTAGGACACATCCTGGTTTAGGATGACATCTTCAGGCTCTTATCGGAAGACATGTCTTTAGCTTTAAAACAATGCAAACAAAGAAAGCAGAAAATCTTGCAATGCTTTAAAGACTAAGGAATTGATTATCATGCTACTTTGCTCAGTCACGTTCTGCTTCATTCTACACCTGCTTACATAGAAAACATTTGTTTATTTTTATTTTATTTATTTATCTGATTTGTCAATTGTTTACAAGATAATAAGTATAAGTGTATACATAGTTATGAATACATGAAATGGGTACATATAAGAAAAATAAAAGAAAAATTTCCCATTCTGACACCCCTGCATCTCTGCCACAAGCACATTTTGCTCACAGGTAATGATGAAAATATTGAGGGAAGGTAAAGGTGAATCTTGGGAAAGCCCTCAATCCACTTAGAAGGCATTCTTAGCTGGTCGACAAAGAGAAGATAGAGTTAATCTGTTCTCTTTTCTTCCAGAGGACAATGAGTGATATTCTGTAAGAAAACAGGTTTCAGCTGAACGTTAGGAAAACAGCTTTCCAATGGATGGTGAAACAGCAATAAGGATGTAATTAGCTTCTGAGATGTGTAGATCTTGTTAATTGTGGTTTGTTTACAAGACAGCCAGTTAGGTGTAATGGTTAATGCTTCAGGCTAGAAACTGGGCGACTTGAGTTTGAGTCCTGCCTTAGGCACAAAAAAGCCAAGCTGAGTGACTTTGAGCTAGTCCTTCTTTCTCAGCCCTAGCAAGAAGGCTAGAATGAAATGAGAATAGAATAGAATAGAATAGAATAGAATAGAATAGAACAGAATAGAATAGAATAGAATAGAATAGAATAGAATAGAATAGATAATTGGCCAAATTGGATTAGACACACAAGGAATTTGTCACCAGTGCTGAAGATAGTGTATATGCAAAGCAACAAGGTAATAATAATCATAACAATGATACCAATAAGAGGTGGTAATAAAGAAGATGAGAAGGATACTAATAATATTCCAGCCATACAACATGGGTGAATAAGATATAAGCCAGTATTGTGAGCATTAGGTGTTCAGCAGAGTGATGGCACAAGGGAAAAAAGTGTCCCTGCGTTTATTTGTTTTGGCATGTAATGTCCTATAAGTGGCGTTCTAAGGGGAGGAATTGGAACAGATTATGTCCAAGATGTAAGACGTGTGCATATATTTTCTCAGCCCACCTTCTGACCCACACAATAATAGCAATAGCACTTAGACTTACAGTGCTTTGCAGCCCTCTCTAAATGGTTTAGAGTCAGCATATTGCCCCCCGCAACAATTTGAATCCCATTTTACCCATCTTGGAAGAATGGAAGGCTGAGTCAACCTTGAGCCTGGTGAGATTCCAACTGCCAAATTGCAGGCAGCCGGCAGTCAGCAGAAGTAGCCTGAAGTACTGCACTCTAAACCACTGCACCACCATGACTCACAATGACAAACCAGTTCCAACCAAGATAACTGAAGGGACTTGTCCAAGTGATTGCCAGGAGTCAAAAACTGGTCCCTAAACACAAACCAATGTATGGCTTGGTGTGTTGGTTAATACAAATAATGGTTTAATGTAATATGCACACTATCTCTTCTCCTGGCAATGTGCTGGGCATTCTTTCTGAGAGGTGTTTATCATAGACCGTGTAGCTGATCATGAACCAAGCATGAATTGG